AGTATCTCCCCAACGTTTCTATTGAACAAATTAATGTGACTGTTATAATTTCCAATATTTATATACTTTTCAGTGTTCATCACTCAACAATCAAATTTTCCAGTTATGCTTCCACGTTTTATGACAGTCGACTTTAATACTCTCACACTGAAACTAAAATCGATGTAAATGATAAATGTGTAATTATTTATTTTACATTTGGTAGTTAAAATGTCAAAGCAGACCAAGTTTTCTCACTTATTTAATCAACTTGTCATTATATAATCGTTAGGTTGATAGGATAGGAGGTTTGTGTAGATTGTTCATGTTTTAAGGTTATTTAACATTTTATACTTATTAAGTAACTTTCTTTTTTACAGATTGGATTCATCCACTTTACACCGATCGTACTTTTGCTGTTAATATTGGACGTTTACTTGATAATCAAAAATCTTTATTTGAAAATTCTTCTGATGAAACAGATTCAGATCGATTGAAAATATTAGCATTTATAAGATTGTCTTGGGCATTATGCCTTCGTAGAACAAATCATTTACGTGCTGAACTACGCCGACGTCAAACAGTTGATGTCAATCGATCTACTACACCATATGTTGTTGTAGTGAATGGCAATGATCTTACTACATTGAATGAAGAAGATTTTGGAATTGGTGGAGATGAAGACGATGAGCTGCAAGCTGTTTTAGCTATTGAATCTGGTGCACTGGAATTCGCTCGTCAACAAATTTTGAACACTTCAGACTTTGAACGTCAAGTATGTTGCAAAGTAGTAGATGTGTAGTTTATATTCTGTAATCTTTCCTAGTTATCAGTTGTCACTTTTTATTTATTTTTCAATTTATTTTAACTCTTTTGTTGAATTTATGTTTGAGTTTATCAAAAACACAACTAATATCAAACGGTTTTTTTTAAATCATCACTTTAAGTACTTTGAATTCTTTATTTTTTCTAATGAATAACAGTTATGTAGATAGTATTAAACACAAAACAGCACATTCAGTCAGTAAGTCAGCTGAAACGTAGAACTTCGTGCATACGTACATCAGTTCAAGTTGTCATACTTCATTGGCGCACAGAGATCGTATGGTCAATCCAAATCCCATAGTGGTAGAGGTAGTACTAGTATGAGCCGTATTTGGAAAGATCACGGTGTGAGGATAGCAATCAAGAAGTATAATTCAGTGAAATAGATTTGAGAAAAAAAAGATGAAGGTAATAAAGAATCCATAAGATAAGAAAATTGAGAGAACACAAAGAATGGGTGCACCTGCGCCACTGAAAACGATTTTGGGCCATGTCGTTCGGGGTCTCTAACCGTCGGTTACTGTCGTCTCCTGAACCCCAATGAGATAATCTACACATATCAACATGACTCAGTCCACTTGTCAGTGACTTCATGCCTTTGTGCCATGCTTTGGTCTGGTCGTCCAACCCACCCTTACACCAGGCATCATCGCTCGCCGAGGCAGTCGGTGGTCGAGCATTCGTAATACATGTCCCAATTATCTCAGCTGACGAACATTCACTACTTCATTTATTCATTTGCCATCCCTACCTAGTACCCTTTTCCTAACAAATACATTAGCTTACTCGGTAGTCCCAGGATATACTAGTAATACATTGAAGACACCTGTGGTCAAATACTTTAAGCCTACAAATATCCTCTACTCTAACTGGCCATGCTTCATAGCCATGAAGTCGGACGGAGCAAACTGCTGTGCAGTAGACTCGTCCTTTAGTTATTAGACGGATATCTCGCCTACGTCATAAGTGACATAATTTGGCAAAAGCTAATCGAACCTTCTCCATCTGCGCTGAGATTTCGTCACATACCATGCCATCAGTACTTATGGCTAGACACGTTAGTTGATAGATATTGTAATTTGATTAAATATAATTTATATATCATAAAACTAACTCTTCCGAATGAAATTTTAACCAACCAACATTAAGAAGAATAATAATAGTTCGTTCAATTTGAGATCCCGACCGTAGCTGCTACCTTGATGTGGTGATCGGGCTTGCCTATCGTGATGACTCAACCGAGCTATACTGGCTGGAACATATGTTCCTGCAGGTCCTACCATGCCAGGCAGGTCGATTGGAGAACGATGAGACTAAAAGCAGCTACCCAAGGTCTGAGGGCGAAGTCGTACTGCTGACTGCAGAGGGGTGTGACAGCAGTAAGGTGTTTCCCTCGGACAACCAGCATCTGGAGCGATGCTGCCTTCTCACAAAGAAGGAAGGGTTAAAAAAGGTCGGCCCTAAAAATGTCAAACCTCTCCTATCTCACGGATTTCCGTCTCTTTGGGCCCACTAAGGGCCTTTAAGAACGGAGCTAATCCTCAAAAAACCTTTCATAAAAAGGCCGTGCGTGACCGGCCTCAGGCAGTTGTCCCTTGGACTCTGCGGTCACGCTCCCAGGTCTCCAAGACCAACACTAATCTATCTTCCTTTTCAGGTCCCTCAAGAAACAACCTTCTAAGGTGTGGGCAGCCGGGAAGTGACAACTGCCCTCATACTCGTAACAGCACGATAGACCAAATTGGTCGAAATCAAATCCTCAATTTGAAATATATCATTAAGTGTCTTTGTTGATATTCTTTTGTTTATATATACATTTTTTTCAGCCAATCTGGGTGTATCGTATGCATTGTATTATAACTGATTTAATTGTACACATGTCTGCACGTGTAAAAGAGATTCGATTACGTGATGAAGATATACTTAGATCGACAGGTTTTGATCCATCGACTACGGGGCATGGTTTTGCGAATTTCCTACTATTCATTGCTCAACTTTACAATCATCCAGGTTCTCGTTTGCATGGTCGATTGGCTTTGGAATATTGGTGGCCTGTCAGTGAATTAGCTAACATTGTACCAGTTGCAACAGCATCGGGTACAAATGATTTATTATCTCCAAATACGGCGAATAAATCACCTAGACCAAAATTTCATCCTTATGGTAATCATTCACGTAATGCAGAAGTTGATAATATTCGACAGGTTAGTGTGTGTGTGTGTTGTTGATTTGATTATTGTGTCAATGATTGGAGTTAGATATTAATTCCTTTGTGGCTTTGATCTTTGATTGTTAGAGTTTATGGTAAAAAAAGCATCTTATAACAATCACTAAGGAATTAGTTCTTGCATAGTTTACAAGATATCATCTCTCGTAATCATATGACACGTGAATGGAGCTTTGGAATAGAAACGCAAGCAAGCAAACCTTAGCACTCCCGTGATCACCTAGATCAAGCGTTTATCAATTTTTGGAATTGGTCGACGTGTGACCATGGCCATATTCCTTGAGGTACGAGTGGCATTTCATTCTATCGACTTACAGATCTTATGGCATTATATGTCATTGAAGTGCGCATCAATGAATTAGAATGACCTACTGAGGGTTTTTCAACTTGAACATTTTATGTTGAATTTTAGGCGATTAGGGACTGTTATCTCGCTTGTCTACATCGATCGATGTTCGTTCGGTCTGTTCATCCTATTTTAGTTTCATTTCATTGTCGGTGTATTTCTTGGAAGTGGTCGGTTTTTTTTCAGTTTTTTCTAGGAATCGAAATGTTATCAGGAGTTTAATAATGACAACTTTGTTTATTTAAGACGCTGACAAACAAACTATGAGTTTTGTGAACACCCTGAGTAGTAATGTCAAAACGTTTCACATGATTTTCTTTCCAGATGTTAAATATTACCACAGAATTAGTCTACATTATTGCATGGTATGAGCATAGGGAGTGTTGCTTTAGGATCGGCCTGCATTAGTGGTTACGGACGTCACTTATCTTGAAAGGTCTGTCAGTTTTGGTGGTTTGATAGTTGTAAAAATATCTCAGCATGGATGTAGAAAGTTTTACATATCTACTTCACTTTTGGAACCTGAAATGTATTCCGAAACTTCATACAAAAGTGTTGCTCAAAAGTGAATATATATATACCTGTGCTTGTGAGATTTAACATGGTCCGAAAACAGAACATCACATAAAATAAATTTTATCGAAACATTCAACTGTATCAATTTTTAACAGATCACACCTGGGAATATCGATTTGTTTTTTCTCTTCAGCGAATTAAATTTTCTTTAAATTATACATAAACTACAATGTTTTGTATTTTAATTGTAGGCAGCACTTATACGATTTTTAAGATTAGCTGGTGATATGGTCACTGCACCTTGTCTATTCTTACCTTATTTACGTATGCTACATGGTTTATGCTGTTCTCGTAGTGCAGCCAGTCTATGTTTCAGTCTTCTCAAAGCCAATGCTACTAATCCGGGTAATGTTGTGATTTAAAATTGAAATTCCTTTTTCTGTATTTACCCCTGGTTGTTTGTGATTTCCCGGGGATCTTTTTTTTTAAAGTAGACAATGATATTTAGTGTTTTATTATTTAAAATCTGTAGATTAGTCTGTTAATCAGTTAGATACAACGTATAGTTTGTAATGTGCACTCAACTCAGTTCAAGTTGACATTACCGCATGAACAACACAGAGAGACGAAATTATTCGGAGTAGTAAAGGTAATAGCGGTATCAGGTGGTGACGGTAAAGATTAGGTGTTGAGGATATGACTCAGGGAGATATAAATCGGTGAAATAAAAAGATTATGAAAATCGGAAACTGAGGCAAGACAATGAGTAAGTACACCCGTGTCATTCCAAACGATTTAGAGCCATATTATCTAATGTCTGTAACCACTGGTTACGATTGTTATGTGGATCCAATCAGGTAGTCTGCAACTGTCAAAATGGTTCAATCGATTCTCGATGATTTCAAGGATGTGTTCCATGTTTTGGTTTGACAGTTGTTTACTTTCTTCCAACCTATTCCTACACCAGATGATTTTCTAAACTTTTCTCACTGAATCATATTTCTTGAATATCTTCCAATCCTAACCTCTCCAATTACTTCTAATACCTTTACTACCTCTACTACTATTGGATTTTAATTGACAATTATATCTATGTGCTGATAAGGTATGGCAACATGAACTGATGTACTTACGTACGAAGTTCTACGTTGCATCTGACTGACACCAGATGACATCGCCCTTCGAAGTAGGAGGTGGTTGTACATGCCAAGCACACTCAGTTAATAAAGACATGATGCCTCATCTGTTGATCTGCCATCCCCCAACCTAGTATCCTCTTGCTTGGAAGATATTACATAGAAGGTTTACCCTATCCTGTTAAAGTGTTATAGTTTTTGAACCAATATACCTACTATATTAAAATTTAGTTGCAGACTTTAAATCATAGCTATTTTGGCTGGATTAATAATTTATACTGTTTATTTAAACACAATCATTGGTTCAAAATAGCACCTAAATAACATATGTATCACAAAAATGATTGAATTTGTGAGTGGGTTGGCATACTTTCCAGGTGCTCAAACCGAATCAGGTGGATTTCTTAGAAGACTAGTCTTCGAATTATTTTGACCTTAAAGTCTAATCTATAAGACAGTGGAGCAATTTGAGGTGATGCAGTCACCTAGTGGTCACTGACCAAAATAGTTTCATACACCGTTCTCTCCGTCAGGATCCTAGCGCTTATGTACACGATTGGTTCGGAATTAGGGTTTTCATAGTCCCCTGAGTAGATATTTCGTACACACTAACTCGGTTAAAGCCCCGATAGAATGTTCGCTTTTCGTTACCCAAATTTCCTAAACGACACTACCACAATGAGGCATTGGATGATTGTCTTTACAAGATCCAATTTTTTAGAGCTTGGTTTCTAGGGTTCTCTCATACACACCTTTTCACCCCATTTTCAGCCTTTTTCACTATTAATGCTTCTGTGATGTTCTCTATTGTTTTATTGTTCTTTTTGTGAATTTCATCTCGGTTTGTTGATGATGTGGTTTGGTAACTTTATATTCCTTATGACTGACTAACTGACTGGTCTGATAAAAACTGCAGTTATTGCTATCGTATAGAATACCGATTTTAATCCGATTAGCATATAAATAAGTAGCTTTGTTGACTGTTACATTGAATTAAGCGTCTTGTAAACTTTGTTGGTACACGGTATCATTCACTGGTTATTTAACAAATTCTCTCATCATACAATCACATTTTGAGTTACAGTCAGTCAGTCAGTCAGTCAATCAGTTACAACGTTGAACTTCGTACGTACGTACAATGGTTCAAGTTGCCATACCGCATTAGCACAGAGACGCAACTGTCAGTTCAAATCACATAGTTGTAGCGATAGTAAAATTATTAGCAGTAATGGAGAAGATTAGGGTTCGAAGATATAATTCGGGAAGTATAATTTAGTGAAAGAGGAAGAATGGGGGTGATGAAGAATTCAAAATTTCAGAGAACACAAAGAGTGGATGCACCTGGGTCATTGCAAACGATTTTGAGCCATGTCGTTCGAGGTCTCTAACCATCTGTTACTATCATTTCGCGGACCTCAACCAGGTAGTCGACATCTACCAACATGAATCAATCCACTTGTCAGTGACTTCATGAATTTTTTCCATGTTATCGAAGCATCCATGTGAGCTTACAACTCTTCCCTATTTTTCTCGATATCATGTTCTAAGTTTATATCCTACATCATATCATTGCTCTAATATCTCCAAAATTAATGTACTTTTGCTAACTTGTTGAATGATCGAAAGCTTCATGATTCAAACACTCAAATTTCAACCAGTAGTAGGTCGCTGGTTCTAGGCCGCCTCTAAATTTGTGGTTCGAATTCGACTGCATAATTATGCGCCTTATTGATGAGTCACAGTGATTACATTTTAAACGTCTATGTATACGGACTGATGTTTGGCTGAGTTAATGTAGTATCCCTTTGAATTCAGTTATTTCTCTGCTCTCTTTAGCTTCATTGTAAATGTCTTGTCATGAAGTGATTATTCGATTCTCATCTTTTTGTTAACAGGTCGCGGTGCCTCGTTAATTACTTGGGATCATTTTTTCAACAGTTTTCGTCAATATTTAAATCATATGAAACAAGTGGTTATTGTACAATCAGAATCAACTAATCTTAGACTACAAGCTTCAAATCAACTATATCCTCATCTTTATGTCAATGATGGAGTTGTTGCTCGTTCCCGGGTGTCTGGTTTTCCACGTTCAACAACTGAATCTATGTATGGTCAAAGAAAAGGTTCTGGTCAATCTGATATTCCTATGACAACAACAACAACAACTACACCTACGAACATTCAACCACGTTCTATTCAACCGGAAGAACAAGCTGGTCTGCAGGCAGTTTTACGATTGGTTGCTCGTATTTGTCGAATGGTATTTATGTCACTTTTTTCTCCCTTTTCTTAAAATAGTTATTAATTATATATATATATTGTGTCAATGAACAGTTCTCTCAATGCAACAGATGGTGTTTTATCACTCTTAAATTTCATTGCATATAAAAGAACTTGTATTGATATTATATATATATATATATATATATATATATATATATATATATATATATATATATAATTTGAATGAAATCATTTCATTGCTCGTTTATCGTGGCATAACAGAGTAAGCAATGCTATCGTTAGGAAAAGGGTATTAGGTAAGGATGGTGGATCAATAGATGAAGTATTGAAGCTTCATCAGTTGAAATGGTTGGGACATGTGTTACGAATGCCCAACCACGGACTGCCTTGACGATCCATGTTTTGTAATATAGAAATAGGTTGGAGGAAAGCTAGGAGCGGCCAGACCAAAACATGGCACAAATCCATGAAATCACTGACAATTGGACTGAGTTATGTTGGTAGATGTAGCCTATCTGGTTGGGGTCCGCGAGACGAAAGTCACTAATGGTGAGAGACCTTAAACGACATGGCTCAAAATCGTTTGCAGCGGCGCAAGTGCATCCACTCTTTGTGTTCTCTGAAATTCTGATCTCCTGAATTCGTCATCAATTCTATCTTTCTCTTTCTAAACTTATCTCACTGAATTATACTTGTCGAATCATATCTTCGAACCCTAATCTTCTCCATTATCAGTAATACTTTTACTACCTCTACTATTTTGGTATTCGAACTGACAATTGAGTCTCTGTGCTAATGGGGTTATGGCAACCTGAACTTATGTTCGTACGTACGAAGTTCTACGTTGTAAGTGACTGACTGAATGTATGAAATCATTTACAAAACCAATAAATCAATAAAGGTATGATATGCACTATGGAGTTTTGGAGATTGTTGTTTTCCATTGAAATAATGAACCGATGATTACAAGATCACCATTAGAAACCTGGAAGCACTGAACGGTCGCTTTGTTCTAGTATAGGACTTTTCAGCATTGTGCATCCACAACCCCTGCTCACAGGCATCAAACCCAGTACCTTCAATCTCGCGTTCGAATGCTTAACCTCTCGACCACTGGGCCGCTGGCATCCAACAGTATTAATGTTTCACTTTGATCAATACAAAACCTTACCAATTGTTTGTGATCGTATTTCTCTACTTGTCATAACTCTGTAGGCAGGATTATAAAAGTCAAATAGACTGCTAATAGCTACACATATCATATATATCTAAATTTAGACGTGATTTAGTGTCCTATCTTCTTTCTTTCGCCTTTTTTTCCCTATAAAAATTCATCAGTTGTGAATAGTCAGTCAGTCATTTACAACGTAGGACTTCGTACGTAAGTACATCAGTCCAGGTTGCTATACCACATTAGTACAGAGATGCAATTGTCAGCTCAAATCCTAAAGTGATATTAGCGGTAAACGAGAAGATACACGAGCAATGATTCGAAGACATCTATAATGGAATACGAATAATTCTTGAATATCCTCAACTCTTTCCGGCCATGTTTCACAGCCAGGTCATCGGCACTTATGTGAATCCTGAGATAAGTGAAGCGGTCAATGCGCTCAACCGCTTCACTCCCTATCATTGGTTCAGTCGCCGACGCAAGCCAATCTCCAAGCAACATTTTGCATTCCAAGGAGGAATGGTGTTTCTTTCACAATCACTGTACTTATTTTTCCCAACATTATTATTTCTAATTCATTGTTTGTCATTGTTGTGTATGTGCCATCTTCTCAAAATTGTTTTATTCTCGTTTTTCTCTCTATATTTCACTGTCCGTCACATGTTCCTTTTTTTGTTTTCATTAGGATCCAGTTGCACGTTCCACTTTCATTTCAAATCCACAATGGCAAGTAATACCAATGTGTATGGGCTTCTTGACTTGTCCAGTTTCTTTAGATTTAAAAGCTGATATTTTGTATTTACTTACTGAAATTTGTAAAAGTCAACAAAATATTCCAATTATATGGCAACATTTCGTTAGTGCAGAAGTAAGTCCATTTTATGTGATAAAAATATGTTGCTAAGAGTTAGATGTAGTGTTTTCAAGCATGACCTTTTCTAACGACTTCCGGTGTGTTAAGGTATAATGATTGCAGATTCTAGTCTTTCGAGGGAAACACCTTGTTGACACTGTAGCCCAGTACCAGTTGTCTGTATGGTTACACGCATGAACATGAATTTCTCGCTTTCATTCGTACTACTCTCCAACTAGCCTATGTGGTTTGGTAGAACCCAAACGAACAAGTTATTCTTTGTCAATACTGTGCTATCAGGTTTTCAAAATGTGCAAAATTGACCACTACGTTGAAGTATCAGATACAATTGGGTGCGTTTATTATGAGTAGTAACCTACTGATGTTGCTTAACTCTTGATTATATACTCAATGTAATCGTTGCAGTAAGTATTACGAAATACACCTTGGCGTCATAAATATTTTATATTATTATTATTATTATTATTATTATTATTATTATTTAAACGCATGAATATTAGTACAATAGCGGGCACCAAAATAAATATACACCACACACATGATTGAATCTGTGAATGGGTAGGGATACTTCACCGTTGCCCAAACCGAATCAGATTGTTTTATTTTTAGAGAGCTACTCTTCAATCCTTTAACTTACAGGTCTAATCGATAAGGCAGTGGAGCAACATTAGGAAGTTCATACAGTCAGTCCCATGATATCAGTTGACCAACAATAGGTTAATACATCATTTATTCCTTCAGGATTATGGAGGTTTAAAATGAGGGTTTTCCAACTCCCCTAGATAGGTCCTCCGTATCCACTAACCAAGACTAAGCCCTGACCAGATATTCACTTTTTCTCTTCTGAATTTCATCGAAAACACTACCGCCGCAGGGTAGTGTGTCAGTTAGTCAGTCAGTTGCATCTGGTCTCGTGTGCTCTTACGGGTATGAGAGCGGTTGTCACTTCCCGGCTGCCCACACTGTGGAAGGGTACTTCTTTTGGAACCTGAAAAAGAAATCGGATTAGCGTTGGTCTGAGCGACCTGGGAGTGTGGCCGCAGAGCCCGAGGGACAACTGCTTAAGGCTGGTCACACACGGCCTTATTATGAGAAGTTTGTAAAGTGTTAGCTCCGCTCTATAAGTGGCGTTACCGCCAGTGATAGAAATCCGTGAAGTAAGGTGAGGCGAGACATTTTTATGGCCGACCTTTTCTAACCCTTCCTTCTTTGTGAGAAGGCAACATCTTTCCAGATGCTGTTTGTCCGAGGGAAACACCTTACTGCTGTCACACCCGTCTGCACTCAGCAGTACGATATCGCCCTCAGACCTTGAGTAGCTGCTTTTGGTCTCATCGTTCTCCAATCGACCTGCGTGACATGCTAGAACCTTTAAAAACATAAGTTCCAGCCAATATAGCTCGGTTGGGTCATCACGATAGGCAAGCCCAACCACCACATCAAGGTAGCAGCTACGGTCGGTCGAGCATTGTAGCCTGTCGCATACATCTACTCTAGTTACTGACTCCGATGAACTTCTTTCTATTTCCGGACACTGTTCGATTACTTTATTATTCAAACGTTGAAATCAAAATTTCAAGAAGTGGTCGTTTGAATAACTCATTTATCACAATCTTGTCATTCAAATTATTTCTATTTGTGTATACTTTGTATAAATACATTGTAATTAACTCTACTTTATATCACTTAACATATATATTCCAAAATATATTTTTTCTCATTCTGTAAGTATCATAATTTTTTTTATTCCAGCTTTTACCTTTTACTGTGCAACGTCATCCTAATCAACCTCAGTCGATCAATGGATTGAATGTATGTACTCTTCTTCGATTGTCATTAGTAATGTGTCTAAATTTTGTTGTTCAGCTGATTTTGTATTTTCCAATTGTTAAATATCAACCATCGGTATCAGGGTTGAGGAGATTGTTGCATATTGTTGAAATCATGAACACTGAGCAATGTTCAACTACCATAGGAAACCTGGAAGCATCAGACAGCTGTTGCATCCTAGTATAAGGCTTGTCAACGGTGAGCTTCCGCGATTCCTCAAGTGGGAATCGAGTGCAGAACCGTCGGTTTCGCAGTCGATTGCTTACCATCTAGACCAGTAAGCCAGCATCTAATCTTTGTTGTTTGCAAAACCAGGGTGTAACTTAATTATAATGTTAAAGGTTATCAGCTTTCAATGACTTGGTTTCCAGTTCTGATCTTATTCTAAATGCCTTTACATATAGAAAGTATAACTAAAAGCTGTTGTTATTCTTTATCGCTCTCACACTCTCTCACATGATAGATGTATTCGGCAAGTTATGATATTTAGAATGTTAATTTGATCGATTTTCATTTTTGTTTTGCCCAAATGCGTAATCTATTTATGCCCAAATCTACTTTATTTTAAACAAATGAATTAAATTCTTGTTATTGGAATCAGTTGGATAAAGTGTAATAATAAGTGCGTAATCATATAAATATAGTTATTTGACCCCCCCCCGCCTCGCTGGGATGGAAGCTGATTTGGCTTTTCGAGGTGAAAAAGAAGGGGCGCTAGTCTGTCTAACCATTCTGTTATTACATATAGGCATGGAAGTTTCCGCGTGCAAATATACGTTATAGGCATAAAAGGGAGTTCATCGCCTAGAGTTCAGACAGTCGCATAAGCACATATGGGCATAAATGCGTTAATCCTAGGCTGTAGCTCAGTAGTATTAATTATACTGAATGACTGTTGAGTAGTCAAATCAGCTTAGCAAATAAGTCGTCAGTTGACAATATACTCCTTCATTGTCATACCAAAATAAATGTCATGTCTATTCCTGTTTACTGGTTACGGCACAGTTTCTGGTCATTGCTCCAACTCGTCCCAGCGAGACCTAATGGTTCTATCTGAACAGTTACACAAGAAGATTTCTTTAGGCACTTACGGTGAGAAATGTTGAAGTTGGACATACAATACTATGCAAACACTTCATATTGATTGATACGATTATCAGAATTTACCGATTGTATTTGTTGGAGCATATGTCACGTACGCCTAACCTCTGAGTATCTCAACACACTATGTACACTGACGTAGGAGTAGATTAAATTAGAGCCAAAGATTGCCAGACCAAAAAATTGGCATAAACTTATCAAGTCACTGACAACTGGACTGAGTCATGTTGGTAGATGCAGGCTACCTGGTTGGAGTCCGCGAGACGAAAGTAACCGATGGTTAGAGACCTTGAACGACATGGCTCAAAGTGGTTTGCAATGGTGCAGGTGCATCCACTCTTTGTGTTCTCTGAAATTCTGATCTTCTGAATTCGTCATCAACTCTATCTTTCTCTTTCTAAACTCATCCCATTGAGTTATACTTCTTGATTAATATCTTCGAAGCCTAATCTTTTCCATTACCGGTAATACTTGTACTATCGCTACCACTATGGGATTTGAAGTGACAACTGCGTCTCTGTGCCAATGCGATATGGCTACCTGAACTGATGTACGTACGGACAAAGTTCTAAGGTGTAACTGACTGACCTAATATTGATTGATACGACTATAAAACTTTGCCGATTATGTTGGTTGATGTAAATGCTGCGTACGCCTAACCTCTGAATATCTTAATGCACTATGTTCACTGATCTAGGAGTGGGTGAAATAAAACCTAAAGGTAGCTAGATCTAAATATGCCATCCCTTTTTTGTCTGTTAAACTGAAGCATGTTAGAAGCTACAGACTACCTATTTAAATTGTTCTCCAGAAACTAACGATACCTACCAGGTCCCCCCGGGTCGAAGTAGATGGGGTGGACTTCGAACCTCAAGGTCTAAATTCTTCTATATTATGTCATCATCCTCCACGAAATAAGCACGACCAATGTTTAAACACTCTGAATCATCGAACTTAAGGTCGATCTTAGAGGCTCAGGTACTCTGATACTTTGTTTTCCTTGTTACATTGAAAAATCCAATCTATATCTATTGATTTTTTCTAAATTAGTGCACCTGGTTTGTTTTTCTCTGTTTGTTTTAGACCGATATGGATGAAGTGGAACCACGAGCTGAGGAATATCCACTGACAAATGCTTTTCTTACATTAATCACTGTTATGCTTCCAAAATTAATCAATTATCCTATGCATAATATAATATCAAGCAATGTGTTAAAACCTACCGATATCAAAGAATTCAATGTATTCGGAGCAACTAGCTCTGGTCCAATGAATATTATACTGCCTCAAACAAATGCCTTTCTGTCAATTACATCATTTATAACGAATACAATATTTTTAAGGCATACCATGAGAGCGTATCGTAATCCAATGGAACGAGTAAGTATTCATAGTGAAAATGTTTTTTTTTGCTTGTTTCATATTGTCTGTACCAGGTTTTCAAAAAATAAATACAAATTTTGGAGACACTTCTTGATTAACAATAAATAAGACGAGGCAAACAAGATATTGGTCTACTAGTCGTTACTTGGTTGCTTGGTACGAATATCTCAGTTATGTAGATCAGTGTGAAACTTAACGACTCGACTGTGAATCCGCCATGGGAGCATTGTCTTAAGATTTCAGGTACATATTACAGATTGGTGGTGGGAAGTAGCACGAAACCGTATTTCATATACTCTTAGAGGAGTATGAAGGTGGTTTCCACTCCACGGCTGCTCACACTTCGGGAAGATGTTTCTACTTGAACGAAGCTAAGTTAGTGTTGCTTTTAGCGATCTGTTAATGTGACTTCATAACCCAAGTGACGACTGTTTGAAATCGGTTTCACATGGCTTCTCTGTGGCAAGTTTTTAATGTCTTAGCTCCACACTTTGAAATCCCTTTGGAGTAAGGTGAGGTGTGACATACTCAGGGTCCACCTTTTCTGACCCCTTCCTCATATTTTGAGAAGAAAGTATCTCTGTACATGCTAGTTGTCTGAGGGAAGCACCTCACTGCTGTCACGCCTTCGCAGTCAGCAGTACAATGTCGCCCTTAGACATTAAGTTGCTGCGTTTAGTATTGCCCGTTCTCCACCTGACCTGTCTGGCATGGCACAGTTTTCCAGACAATATAGCTCGGTTGGGTTATCACAGTAGGCAAGCCCGACCACTACGTTAAGGTAACAGCTACGAATGATTGATAAAGCGGTGTTTTCATCAGCTATAGTGGTTAGCACATGTGTTACGGATACCTAATCACCGTCTACTTCGATGAGCGATGTTGTCTGGCCTATGAGTTCGACCTTTCAACTAACTAACTGCTTGCAACCTAGCTCATACAAGGTTCTCTACCAACAACCTAACATTAAAACCATTTCCTATCAATAGGTCTTATATCAGAAGTATGACTGAAATCCTGCTGAATATACCAAAGCTATTCTTATTGAATAACGTGTGAGATTCAAGAAAAAGAAAAGTATCATGAGGAATTCGGTAGAAGGTTAGGACTGAGTACGTCTGTGTCATTGCAAAACAGTTTACCATCAGTATGCTCAACCATGTAAATATTCTGTTTGTTTTTTTCCTAATATTAACACTTTTGGATACCTGCAGCTAATTGGTCTAGAGGTTAAGCGTTCGCGTGCAAGACCCGAAGGTCCTGGGTTCGACTCCTGCAAGTAGCATAAGTCATGGATGTGCACTGGCACTGATGAGTAATCCCATACCAGGACGAAACGGTCGTCTTTCAGTGCTTCTAAGTCTCGTGTAACGGTGGTCTAACAATGATATTGATTCACAATTTCAAAACTATACCGAAAAATCTTTTCTTTTTTTTTCTGTCTATTTTAGTGGGATATTGCTGCATCTTGTCTAATTCTATTCGATGGTCTTGTACATGATTTTTTAAATCGATTAAATAATGCTACCGCCCTGATTACCACGATGATAGCTGCTAGTCATGAAAAGAATGTTGACAGTTTCGATGCATTATTTACAAAAACAACAATTACTAGTGACATGTCTTCTTCCATTATTCCTAGTAAACATTCTCATGTATTGACGACCAGTACTGGTCAATCAGTTGACTGGGCATCTTATCTATTGGATGTATTATTTCAAATTGGCAAAGAACAACATCACCACCACCAACAACAACCAATTCAAGGTCGTCATTTCCATTCTCCGTCGTCGTTGTCAGCAATGAATTCATTCGATGGTTTAATAAGTCAATTGCATTTACCAATTGGTTGGCCTTATAGTGATCCAGGCTATCATTTAGCTACGCAATTATTAACAGATTCCTCTTTATTCCGAATGGTAATTGATTGATTGATTGATTCTAGCAGTTTATTGATTGATTAGTCTGTTTTTTTTGACATATGTGTGCATCATCCTGTGTGGATTGATTGTTATTATAGAGAGAGGTGGTTACAAGCATGATTAATAGAGGTGGATAGTGGTTAACAGTGGAATTCAAGATACCTATTGTGTCCTATTTTGGGCGATGTACCTGCCACATCTCAAAGTTGGTAGGACGTGGAACCAGTACCATGTGTTTGGAATACCATTGCGTCGTGAAGTGAACATCAACTCTGCGATGTGGCAAGTACATCCAGCTGATGAGAGTTCCAACATATTGTGGATTTCACTTGTGACTACTATCAGCCTCTGCTAGTAAAATACATATATGTGTCTCGTGATAGGGGATAATAAATTCATTGAGACGGTTGCCATAACACAGAGAGATCGACTGATCAATTCAAATCCCATAGTGGTAGATGTTGTAGAAGTATTGGCGGTAATGGAGATGATTAGGGTTCGAAGAAATTATTCAGGAAGTATAATTCAGTGAAATAAATTTAAAAAGAGGGATGTATAGAGATGATAAGCAATTCAGAAGATTTGAGCGAAGACAAATAATGGATGCAGCTGCGTCGTTGCAGACGATTATGAACCATGTCACTCAAAGTCTTTAAGAATCGGTCACTATTGTCTCGCTCACCCCAACCATATGGTCTACACCTACTAACATGACTCAATCCACTTGTCAATGACTTCATGGATTTCTACCATGTTGTGTTTTGACTGCCCCTATCTTTTTTCCAACCTATTCCTACATCATAAAACATTACTCATCAAGGCAATCGGTAGTTGGGCATACGTAACACATATCCCAACCACTTCAACTGATGAAGTTTCAATACTTCATTTATTGATATGCCAATAGATGAAGCTATGCAAACAATGCGTAGCTTTATCTATCAATAATGCTGCATTCAAAATCTGAGCAATCGACTAATTCTCTATCTAAATAACCGATGGCCTGGTGACTGACGAAATCTCAGCACGGATACAGAAGGCTCGATTGGCTTTTGCCAACCTGCGTCACTTATGGCGTAGGCGAGATATCCGTTTGATGACTAAAGGACGAGTGTACTGCTCAGCAGTTCGCTCTGTCTTACTTTATGGTTGTGAAACATGGCCAGTGAGAGTAGAAGATATTCGTAGGTTACTGGTTTTCGATCATCGGTGTCTTCGAAGCATTGCTCGTATATCGTGGGACACCCGAGTGAGCAACGCTGTTATTAGGAATCGGGTGCTAGGTAAGAATGGCAGATCAATCGATGAAGTGGTGAAACTTCATCAGTTGAGGTGGTTGGGACATGTGTTGCGTATGCCTAACCACCGACTGCCTCGTCGAGCTTTGTTTTGTAGTGTAGGAATAGGTTGGATGAAAGCTAGGGGCGGCCGGACCAAAACATGGCAGAAATCCATAAAGTCATTGACGAGTGGACTTAGCCATGTCGGTAGTTGTCGACTACCTGTTTGGGGTCCGCGAGATGATAATAATCGATGGTTAGAGACATTGAATGACATGGCTCAAAATCGTTCGCAGTGGCGCCGGTGAATTTATTCTCTGTGTTCTCTCAAATTCTAATCTTCTGGATTCTTCAACCCCTCTAGTTTTGACTTTCTAAACTTTTCTCACTGAATCATACTTCTGGAATAGTATCTTCTAATCCTAACCTCTCCGATTACTTCTAATACCTTTACTACCTCTTCTACTATTGGATTTGAATTGACAATTACATCTCTGTGCTGATGTGGTATGGCAAAATGAACTGATGTACTTACGTACGAAGTTCTACGTTGCATCTGACTGACTGACTGACTATCTATATTCATCTAAAAATGTATACGAAACTCAGGTTATTCTCAACGCTCAATGTTTAAAATCTAAAAGTAGGCAGTGAAATGTTTTCATAGGTGATTATTTTGTTTATATATATATGCATGAGACGATATTAACCAATGGTCAGAAACCTTGAACGACACAGTTTAAAATTGTTTACGATGGCACAGGTGTATCGATTATTTATGTTGTCTCAAATTCCGGTCTTCTGAATTCCTCATCACCTCTATCTTTCTAAGTTTATCTCATTGAATTATACTTCTTGAAGAATATCATGGTACCTTAATCTTCTGCATTACTGCTAATACTTCTACTACATCTACTATTATGGGATTTGAATCGACAGTTGCATCTTTATGTGCTAATGTGGATATAGCAACTTGAACTACTGTACGTGCGTACGAAATTCAACGTTGTAACTGACTGACTGACTGACAATATATTTACTGTTTAACAAATAATTCCCTACTTTCAGCAATGTCCTCTCTGTGTTGTTTATTGAAATGTTTAATTGACATCTCATTTGCTTTTTTTTTATTAAATTACTCTGAAAAATATATCGTTTCTATAACTTATGTCATTGAAATTTCTCCATTCATTTCCTTTTCACACACACACACTCTCTCTGTCTCTCTTCATAGGTAACTGGTCTTTTAGAAGTAGGCCTTCATAGACATTTAGAATTTCCTATACCGAATGGTCCACCAGTATCAATGACTCGTGCAACATACGCTGGTCTGAGTTTAATACGTCGACTATTGGCTAGTGAAGATATTTTAGTCACATTTGTTCGACGTATAGCAACTAATATTCAGTAAGTTTATTAATTTTGGTTTTAAAATATTTAATTTATATAATTTATTTATTGGTGTATTTAAACACATAAACATTATCTCAATGGAGTCATTCAAATACTTATCTGCTAGATAAATATTTGAATTCATATATGGTCTGCGATACTATCGGGTGTCTAAACTGAAGTATTCTGCTGGGAGACCTAAACGGCTAGGTTGAAATGGGTAGCACTGGATACGAAGGCCTCATGGGACAACATGGAGTGGATGAAAGAATCGAGGATGATAAGAGATTCGCAAATTTATGTGCCTTTAACAAACTGGTTGTACTTTTTCTGGTTAGCGTTTTTTTGGCAAATTAGTTTTTTGGTAGGATGGGGTCGCCAACCCCATGCCGAACACTCCTCCTTTACCCGGGCTTGGGACCGAAAGTAGCCCCGAAGTTTCTCCTGGCGGCATCATATTCCCACACAAACGCATACTCAAAGCTACATGTGTTTCACCGGACCACACTACACAGAACCTAATTGACCATATCGGCACCATTGAAGAGTCCAGAAGGATCATGGAGGACGTAAGAACTAGGAGAGCAGCTGACCTAGCTTCCCTGTAAGTGGTCAACTTGGGTGGAAAGAGAACGCTGGACACCTGGGCGAACAGCATTATAAAAGTCTAATTTGGCCTTTGTGCGGGATAGTAAGAAGATCAACAAATTCAAGATAGCTCTCAGCAATAAGTTCCAAGTCTTTCACGATCCACTCAATGGAGAGGAAACTACCATGGAGAACAAATGGAAAGGGTTCAAAGAAGCAATAACTTCAGCATATCATAAGGTTCTGGGCTACATGAAGCACTATCACAAGGAAGTGATCTGTATGGATAATGTGAATAGGATTCAAGAAAGGAAGAACAAGAAGGCAGTAATCAATTTCAACCAAACAAGAGCAGAAAAAAAAGCCGAAGCAAAGGCGGGATACACAGAACTTAACAAGAAGTGAACAGGGGCATTAAAGCTAACAAGCATAAATGTGTGAATTTAGCAATGATAGCGGAAAAGGCTTCAAAAGTATACCTCATCGATGTACCAATGAAATTGAATATCAACAAATGTGAGAACTAAATAGACAATACTAGGAAGGGTCTTCAGCAGAAGTTGTTCAACCTAATGAACGATTCAGCGGACACCCGACTTAGAGGTCAACAGACTGGATTCAGTAAAGCTAACCTCTGTAGTAAACAGGTGTTCAACAATTATTGTCTACGCAAGATACGCCGGATCCGTTGATCAGACACCATCAGCAACAACCTACTGTAGAAGAGAACAAACCGACTTTTTCCACATAAGAAAAAAAATTAGGAAAAGCCGCTGAAAGTGGATAGGAAACGCAACCCAGCAATCGTCGAACTAAGTTAGAAAACAACTTTTAACTCAAAATCTTGAAGGCGAAAAGGGAAAAAGGAAGACAAAAATATGCACACAGAATTGTAGACAGATATGAAAGGAATGAATAGTATTAGAGAAGAACTGGAAAGGACAGAGTTGGATAGAGATTGCTGGTCGTCAGCCTACGCCCAGTGAGAAGTAATAGGCGTAATTATATCTAGGTGAGTCCTGTTAGAACATTCGCTTTTCCGCCTCTGAATTTCATCAACAACATACCCCGTTTACGAGTTCCCTCTCGCTGTGTCTGTACACCCGTATTCATATCAGAGCATTTTGTGACAGAAAGCAAACTCTCTGGCGTACCAAAGCTACACTATATCATACCTTATCATAATTGTTATTTCTTGTTTTTGTTTCGGTAGACCACGCGTTGGATCTGTGCAAACCTCGTCGAATATTTCGATTCCATTGCCGAATCTTCCGTCATTTGGTCTTACAATACTTCCTGTATATGTTTCACGTTTATTAATGTCAACTAATTTAGGATCTGGAAGAGCAGGTCTTATTCCAATGTTATTAAAGTAAGTGATTAATTTATTGATTTATTTCTACTGATATGTATATATCAGTATATGTATGTCATCGTCGAGCTATGTTTTGTGATGTAGGAGCATGTTGGAAGAAAGCTAGGGGCGGCCAAGACAAAACATGGCGCAAATCTCATCAAGTCACTGACAAGTGCACTAAGTCATGTTGGTAGATGTCGACTATCTGGTTAGGGTCCGCGAGATGATAATAATTGATGCTTAGAGACCTTGAATAATGACATGGCTCAAAATCGTTTGCAATAGTGAGCGCAAGTGCATCCATTCGTTGAGCTCTCTCAAATCCTACTCGTCTGGATTCGTCAGCACCTCTACCTTTGTCTTTCTAACCTTACCTCACTGAATTATACTTCTTGAATAATATCTTCGAAAAATAGTCTTCTTCATTACCATTAATACCTCTACCATCTCTATCACTATGGGATTCGATTTGACATTTGTGTCTCTGTGCTAATGTGGTATGGCAACATGAACTTACGTACATACGTACGATGTTCTACGTTGCAACTGACTGACTGTGTATATGTGTATATCTCTTTCTACTTTTTTTCATCTCGTTTCAATTTAGATATTGTATGCTAGCGGATTATCTACCCGATCATACATCATGTGCTGTTAGTATTCTTGGTTATTTAGCCTCATCCATACAACCACATACAGATTTATTAGCCTTGTTGACAGCTGATGAAGTAAGTTTAGATTGTTTTTGAAATTTTCATTCTTTCCCATCATTGAATATGATTATTATATAAAAAATAACCCTCTGTTGTTGTTCAGGAGAACCATGCAGACTGCCCACTTGTTATAATACACAACGTGAACATTTCGGCAACAGTGTGGCGCAACTACCACACAGGTACCTGGCACCCTAGTGGGCTATTCACACCACTTATATAAACACCTGTACATATATAGGGATTAGTTCCGATCCATCATCGCGTCAATCCAAATGCACCGCATGAATAGGCCAACTCGACCCATTTCGCTTACACATCACTGTCAAACTCATTATTAGTAGCAGTGGTGATATACAATGACAATGACCCTCAGAAAATGTTGCAAAACAACCACCACCCGTATCAATGATGAAATCGGTCATCCTGATACACAATTTTATTTATGGACTGTTAGCAATACTTGTCAAAGCAATGCTAAGCCATCCACAATATCTAGTATCATAGGAAACCTTTAGCTCTATATAGAGTAGTATAACATATAGTATACACATAGTATGGTATAGGATAGCAAGAGATTCAGTCCAAGCTTGGTGTTAATGGCCTTAAACACTCCTGTATTAATCTTTGTCTCATGTCGGATAATGATTGTATCGTAATACCGAACTTTTCATTTTTCGACCATAGGAGAATTGAGTTAGGGGTAGTATCCCTATTATTATTATTATTATTTTCATTTACCTCTAGACTATACGAAATCAATTGCTTGGTACATTTGCACATTTAATCAAATGGCCATCAATCAATGACGATATGATGAATTCCAGTCTAAATTCCACCATGATGACGACCGCCAGTCATAATTTAGATAATGAAGGTCATTTTGCATTCACTGATGACTGGCTTTATAATGATTTAAATGAGAATAATGAATTATGTTTGCATACAGTCGGGACGTTTTCATCGAGGCTACCATCACCGGTAATTCATGTGGCACGATTCGATGCTGCTTTCCCGTCCCAGATTAATCAATGGTATTTTCCTAGTCAAATATGGGAACGTTGTACTACATATTTGATGAATACATATTTTACTGAATGGACCGATATACGAATTACACATAGTCGAATGCATAATATCAGTAATAATAATAATAGTAATGATTATTATAATATTGCATTTGGTGATTGGCTTTATCGTGAGTTTATTTATTTGCAAGATATTAATTTTTTTCTTTTTGCATAATGGAGCTGTGGAGGTTGTTGAGTTTTATTGAAATAATAATGAATTAATTAATCATTGTTAAACCACTACATAACTGCTTCGCCTTAGAATTGTCAGAAGGATTTGATTTCGACCACTTTAGTCTCGCGTGCTGTTATGGGTATGAGGGCGGTTGTCACTTCCCGGCTGCCCACACCGTGGAAGGTTGTTTCTTGAGGGACCTGAAAACGAAGATAGATTAGTGTTGGTCTTGGAGACCTGGGAGCGTGACCGCAGAGTCCGAGGGACAACTGCTTGAGGCCGATCACGCACGGCCTTTTTATGAGAAATTTTTTGAGTGTTAGCTCCGTTCTTAAAGGCCCTTAGTGGGCACCGTTACCGCTGGAGACGGAAATCCGTGAGGTAGGGTGAGGTGTGACATTTTTAGGGCCGACCTTTTCTAACCCTTCCTTCCTTGTGAGAAGGCAGCATCGCTGCAGATGCTGGTTGTCCGAGGGAAACACCTTACTACTGTCACAACCCTCTGCAGTCAGTAGTACGACTTCGCCCGCAGACCTTGGGTAGCTGCTTTTAGTCTCATCGTTCTCCAATCCACCAGCCTGACATGGTAGAACCTGCATGAACATATGTTCCAGCCTGTATAGCCTTAGAATTGGATTATTACTCAGTGGCAGTGCGTGCATCCATGAGTCTCACTTACTCACGAGAATCGGACCGAGTGTTGGATCCAAATTGAGGTTTGGACTGAGGAATAACAACTGTCTAGGTAGTGTAGATACGCGTCTTGACTCAGTTTAAATTCAGAATAAGTGATTTGTGTAGATGACGGTTCTAATATTCATCATAAATATGAATATACATCATTACCTAAACAAATATTATCACTCAGTTATTCCACCAATCAACAGCAACAAATAAATGTTATTCTAAGCCTCCTGGATAGATCAGATTCGTTCGAGAGAGATAATATTTGGTTGCTTTATAACACAGAGTGTTTCCAATGCTGGAAGAGTGCTCCGATTCACAATCGAAATGCACAATTCCAGTCAAAGCAAGCGACGCTATCAAAAGAGGAACAAATCAATATGGCTGTCGCTATGACTAAGTATCAGCGAAAACAATATAAACGCAGTTCAGAAAGAATCATAGAAACTCAGTAAAAGGCAAAAAAGAAATAGAAACTACAATAAGATACGAATATTATCATCTCAAAAATGGAATCGAACAGATTAACAAAATGTTCAACTGAAGGAATCATTAAGAACAAATTACAATTGTGTATACATGAAGGGAATTTCACAAACAAAGCTTTCAAAAATAGATCTTACGCCGAGTACCTTCGGTGTCTCGCTCGCGAACACTTAACCTCTAGACCACTGAGCTGCTCGCATCCAACCGTGGTAATTTCCAACTTTAATCAGTCCATGATATTGAGCAATCTCACCTATTGTCTTCTATGGGTAACTACCTACACCCGAAAAAAGTATGTACCTTAACTTTGAATTCTTCTCGTTCGTCATTCTTCTAACCTCTGGATTATTGCATAACTTTCCTTTGACATTTGAAATCTTGAATCCTTTTATTACTTACTTACTTAAGTAATAAAAGGATCGTGAGGTTCTGTGTCAGTGTCTGTCATTGAAAGGTGTACCTAAGAAGTACATTAACCGTATAATGCTCTGTACTCGAAAATCCCTGGTCGAGTGAGAGTTTATGGTGAACTGTCACCGGAAGTCTTTACTTCAAGTGGTGTCCGTCAGGGATGTCCACGCCGATGACATTGTCCTACTTGGTGAAGACGCTGACAAAATACAGTCTTCTGACCACCCTAAGCAACAATGCAAGTATGTTCGGAATGCGGTTTTCCCCCTCAAAATGCAAAATGTTGTTTCAAGATTGGGTCGCATCGGTACCTGAACTACTGATATGGAGTGAATTATTCGAGTGTGTAGACTGCTTCACTCATCTCGGGAGTCTCATCAGCGCTGATGACCTGGTGACTGACGAAATCTCAGTTCGGATACAGAAAGCCCTATTGGCGTTTGCCAACCTGCGTCACTTATGGCGTAGGCGAGATATCCGTTTGCTAACTAAAGGACGGGTGTACTGCGCAGTAGCTCGCTCCATACAACTTTATGGCTGTGAAACATGGCCAGTGAGAGTAGAAGATATTCGTAGGTTACTGGTTTTCGATCATAGGTGTCTTCGAAGCATTGCTCGTATATCGTGGGACACCCGAGTTAGCAACGCTGTTATTAGGAATCAGGCTATGTTATGTAGTGTAGGAATAGGTTGGAAGAAAGCTAGGGGCGGCCAAACCAAAACATGGCACAAATCCATGAAGTCATTGACGAGTGGACTTCGCCATATGGGTAATTGTCGACTACCTGGTTGGGGTCCGCGAGATGATAATACTCGATGGTTAGAGACCCTGAATGACATGATTTAAAACCGTTTGCAATGGCGCCAGTGCATTTATTCTTTGTGTTCTCTCAAATCTTAATCTTCTGGATTCTCCAACATCTCTAGTTTTGTCTTTGTAAACTTATCTCACTGAATCATACTTCTTGAATAATATCTTCTAATTCTAACCTCTCCGATTACTTCTAATACCTTTACTAACTCTACTACTATTGGATTTGAATTGACAATTATATCTCTGTGCTAATGTGGTATGGTAACATGAACTGGTGTACTTACTTAGGAAGTTCTACGTTGCATCTGATTGACTAACTGACTGACTTACTTACGACTGTTACCCCCACTGAAGCATATAGGAGCATATATCGCTATATAATTGGCGTTATTCCTCTTTATAGATTATTATGTTACATAATGGATCCTGTGTAAAAATTGTCATTTATCTTCCAGTAGTCATTTTGTTTTTGTTTTGAATGTTTCATCCTCTCACTCTCTCTTTTTCCATCTCTCTCTCTATATTTTTTGGCGGGAAATACAGAAATCACTGCAAATACTCAATCCATACCAATTTCTATATCATTTCTACAAATATTATTAGCTGTCATGGAACATCCTACACCGAATTTAGTGCATTGGTTATGTGGATTTCGTATTGACAATTGTAAAGCTGTTAGTCAATCCAATTTACAGGTAATTTCTCGTGTGTTTGCTTTCTTTTTCTAAGCATTATTGGTTAATTGTTTGTTTTCAGGCTTTACTGTCTAATATATACATGAATATTTATATGAAAATGTTAAACCAATCAAGGCAATTTGAGTGATAATCACAATGAAATGAAATAGAGATTACGTCACTACACACATAATAGGCAAAAGTTCAAGTGGATAATAGGAAAACAGGTGTACTGATAGTAGTAAGAAAATTTATAAAATATGATAACTAAAGTTGGTCAAGGGTGGATGAATAGAATTCAAATAATCATCAAAAACATCAAAAACATTACGTAATAAGCAAATGTGTAAAAATAAAAATAAAATAAAAAAATCAAAAAATCAAAAAATAATAAAAATATGTCAATCGTTAGTTACGTCATATCCGGCCATGGAAGAGATAGGGGTGTGACGAATTTCTTCTGAACACATAAATTAGGGTTGAATGTACGTATTCCTATGGTTTCTGCAATGTGTAGGAGACGGGATCGAACTCCGTTGGGAAATGATGGAGGTATACGATAGATCACCCGAAAAGATCTAGATTTATCTACAATGTGACCACTATCTACCAGGTGTGCTAAGATAGAACTGCGTATTGTTTTTGACTGACCCTTTGTAAACCATGCTGGGAGATGTTCACTCATTCGTTGGTTAGCGTGTAGGGTTATTGTGTGAAGATTATAGAATTTCCATAGACTCGAAAAATCACAAGTTGATCTTAGTTAGTTAGATCATTATTATTGAAAACCTGGAGGGACTATATGGTGTCTTCATGGTAAGATTTGATTCTTCAGCTGTGGTGCACATCCACTTCTCCACTTCTCTCCAAAGATCGAATTGAAGATCTGCAGACCATTGAGCCAGCATCCGGCGGTATTAGTGTCTGACTTTAGTCACTTCAACGTATTACATAACTATCTTTTCTTGTCTATGGTGGATAGTAGTTGTCTCACACTTGATATGGTAGAACTTCATCAGTCACGATTTTGGACTTCCGAGTTTACAATATCAATGAAACTAAGAAGAGTTGGTCGTATAAAATTTAAGGAAATTATTTGTTAATTGTTGAACAGTTGGAAGTATTTGACAGAGGACTTTTTCTCTCGTTATCAAAGAGCACCTGGGTTTTTTTAAGTAAACCAGTTTTCCCAGCGTGATCTCATCCAACTCGCCTACACTATATATGATTCAATTTAGTAAAAGTCATATATACCTCCTAAATCCCAGCCGACATTTTTCTTCAGACATCAAACCACTACAACTGATCAAACTTGTAATATTTGTGAAATGAACAAAACGCTCAACTATTTCATTCTGTAAAATCAATCTAGAAGTTCACATCGATCTGTTCTCTAGCATTTAAATAGTAAGAAACGCATTCAAATCATGCTGACATTGTTATTCACTAACTTGAACATGCCGTTATCTATGTATTTCCGTGGTTGATCTATTCATTTTACCCTCACTGAACTAAACTACTATAGTACACTGTTTTTCATTTCGATCGATTCATGGTTATGTGATGTCCTACACTGTTTTAATGTTATGATTCTATGCAGTGATATTGATGTACTTAGTTTTCAAACATTAGGTTTCTAATTTAGACTGCCTCTGCTTCGTCAAACAATCGACATAACTAGAGCTCACATACAAACACACAGTGTGTCTCTAAACAGAGTACCTAGGAATGTACTTACTTACTTATTTACGCCTGTTACCACCAATGGAGCATAGGTCACACCGACCAGTATTCTACAACCTACTCCGTTCTAGACCTTCAATTTTGTTCATTCTCGTCATGTCTTTCTCTGTTTCTCGGCGTAATGTGCTTCTTGGTCTTCCTCTTTTCCTTATTCTGAGAGTTGCAAGTCTTGTGACGTAGTTCGGTGCTTTTTGCAGTATGTCCTATCCACTTCCACCATTTCTTTCTGATTTCTTCATTTGCTGGAGAAAGTTGGTGTGTTCTATCCCACAGTAGGTTGTTACTGAGTGTCCGACCGACGGGTCCGAAGTATTTTGCGTAGACGACTGTTAATGAATACTTGTATCCTCTGGATGATGGCTTTCGCGGTTCTTCAAGTTTCCGCCCTATACAGCAAAACTGTCTTGATATTGGTATTGAAAATTGTGACTTTGGTGTTGGTTTATAGATGTTTGGAGTTCCAAGTGTTTTTCATTTGTAGAAATACAGCCCTTGTTTTGCCGATCCGCGCCTTCACATTTGCATCGGATCCACCTTGATTGTTGATGATGCCACCCAGAATATGTAAACGCTTTTACATTTTTCGAGGCATCTCTATCAAGAGTGATTTGGTTGGCGCATGTTGTGTTGTATACCGGAGAATCTTGCTTTTGCCTTTGTATATGTTGAGATATACTGCTACTGAGGCTGACTGACACTTATTAATATAAGTCAACTTATATTAATAATGGTGGTCTTAATAATAATAATTATTATTAGTTGTAAGAAGACACCTTAGATCATAACGATTATCAGTGAAAATAAACTTTACCCATACGTCATAGCTTAATGGTTTCCTATGTCATTTTTTCTTATCAGGATGCTGGTATAGCTGATCAACAAAGAACCTGCTTACATAGTATGCTTGATATGATAGATAGTACTACTCATTGGCTACAATCAATCACAACACTACCTTTTGAATTCTCTTGTGCATTACAATGGAATTTGGCGCTGATTTGGCAAATTTTTTATAAATTAGCCTCAAATCCATTGACATCGGAACCTTTCTTGCGTTTTCTACGTAACAATCATGATTTGTTAGCGAAATATTTACATTCGGATCTTTGTCAATCTATTCTGCCGTCAAGTTTTGATGGAAATATCAGTGAAATTTTCACTGATCGACAGAAAGCAGGTTAGTTTTTGTATTCTTTAAAATTTTACTACGTAATACATCATCAACACTGTCAGATGATGGATGACTCAGCGAACAAAGGGATTAGGCGTTTGCTTAATTCCTGGATTTGACTACCAGCTTGCAGTATCATGAATATTCACTGTTGATGAGTCATATACTAAGACGAAACGAGCGTCCAGTGATTCCAGGTTTCCAATCGTGATCTAAAATTGATCGATACATTATTTCAATTAACACATTGTTATGTATGAAACTGTATCCTGTAACGTTATGAAACATTGTTTTTCTTAATTTAAAGCTGTCGATACCTTGTTAGGTTTGCACGTAAGGAGCGTTTATTAACATCTTTTCCCTTAAGCTTGTTAAAAAATATCTGAACACTTGCATAATTGTAATCTTATAGTTTGTTATGTCACTCCTAACCTATTTTGTCCTACAATCTTGTTCTTCAGTGATTGAAGCTTTAGCTTTGAATCGTAAAAACTGGATCCTTCGTTTGTACGCTATTGAAATACGTGTATCTGCTATGGCTAATCAACGGTCTTATGTAACACGATTATTGAAACTGTTCCTTGGTGGTAAGATTTTCATATATGTGTATTCTTTCATAGGTGATGACTAATTATTCTTATTATTATTGATTCTGACTTTGAGGGAGTTTTACTCATTGAGGTTTTTTCGATTAGATCACTTAAGAAGTTAGTTGATCATGTTAACTACTCGATGGAACTGTAAACTGCGCCGTAACAACTCTAACCTTGATAGTTTTAGCGTTTTATTTCCAAGTTCTAAACCTTCTCCGTCCATCTTACTTTGAACAACTGAGCAGTCCCCTAGAACATAGACGCACGTTCAGACATCTGAGAATAGTGGTATTTCTCCACCTTAGAGTGGCATTTGACTCTGTTGATTGTGAGGTCCGATAGCAGTGTCTGTTATTGAAAGGTATGCCAAAAACGTTCATTAACGTTATACAGGATCTGACTTTTCTGTGATGGAACTTCTGTCAGAAGACGCGCTTGTTGACCTAGAATATGCCAATGATACAGTTCTACTTAGTGAAGACGTTGACAAAATGCAGAGTATTCTGTCTACACTAAGTGACAATGCAAGCATGTGCGGGATGCGATTCTTCCCGTCGAAATGTGAAATGTTGCTTCACGATTGGCTTGCATCCTCTCGATTGGCTTTTGCCAAGTTGCGTCACTTATGACGTAGGCGAGATATCCGTTTACTAACCGGAGGCGGAGTTTACTGCCCAACAGTTCGCTCCCGTTCTACTTTACGGTTGGGAAGCATGGCCAGTGAAAGTCGAGGATATTCGTAGGTTACTAGTATTCGACCGTCGGTGTCTTCGAAGCATTACTAGTATATTTTGGGACCACCGAGTTATTAGCTGAGTCGGTTACGTAATGTATTATATTCACTTAATCACCGCCTACTTCGATACGCGACATAATTTGATTGTAGATTACTTTGTTTTTGCGTTTTCTTGAATCTTATCTTCGATTCCTAATCTTTTCCATTACTACTAACTACCGTTATTACCTCTACGATTCTGACATTCACCGTAACGATTTGATCTGTCTCTATTTTAATATGTTATGTCAACTTGAACTGATGCACACGTACGAATCCGACTCATCGTTACAGCTGACTGATGGTTGTTGCAAAAAAATTATACAAATCATTAGTTAACTAATATTTTGTTTGACATTATGTCAGTCAGTCAGTCAGTTGCAACGTAGAACTTCGTACGTATGTACATAAGTTCATGTTGCCATACTACATTAGCACAGAGACGCGAATGTCCTATCGAATCCCAAAGTGATAGAGATGGTAGAGGTATTAGTGGTAATGGAGAACAGTAGGGTTCGAAGATATTATTCAAGAAGTATAATTCAGTGAGATAAGGCTAGAAAGACAAAGGTAGAGGTGCTGACGAATCCAGAAGATTAGGATATGAGAGAATCCAACCAGGTAGTCTACATCTACCAACATGACTCAGTCCACTAGTCAGTGACTTCATGGATTTGTGCCATGTTTTGGTCTGACCGCCCCTAGCTTTTTTCCAACCTTATCCTACACCACAAAACATAGCTCTTCGAGGCAGTCGGTGGTTAGGCATTCGTTACACATGTCCCAACCATTTCAACTGATGAAGTTTCAATACTACATCTATTGATCTGCCATCCTTACCTGGTACTAGTTTCCTAACGACAGCATTGCTTACTCGGTTGTCCCACGACATACGATCAATGCTTCTAAGACATCTATGATCGAATAGTAGTAACCTACGCACATCTACTCTTAACGGCCATGTTTCGCATCCATATAGGAGTGTAGTGTGCCGATAACTGCGTGTTCTTATAGCTCGATTTATAAATCAGAAGATAAACTCCAAGTATCGTATACATTTATTCGAGGCACACCACATACAGACTGAGCAGATACACTAGCGAGCGAATATGTGAATATGCGAATGAGCGAAGAGGAGAAGCGAATAGGAGAAGGCTGTTGAGCCAATTCCAAGAGATAGAGTATGACTAAGAATATATAGTCAGGTAAGAATAAGACAGACATATGACAAGCGAAATAGGTATGCACACACATGAATAAAAGCGACGAATGACTGACAAGGTCAAATGCAAGCGATACACATCATGTGAGTTCATGAGGAAATTAAGAGATTAACATTAAAGCGAAAAGGATGAGTAAGTGCGTAAGCGTAAGCAATGCTCAGCCGTATAAGCTCATACAAAGCAGATAATAAAAATTACCAATGGCACATATGAGTTGTTGCTATGCGAATGGCTTGGTTAAGTAAATTAATGGAAAGGGCTTAACCAAGTTAGATGTGAGAGAAGTGAAATATATGTGGAGGCACTACAGGAGAACGGAGCGAACCACTGCACAGCACACCCGTCCTTTGGTTAGCAAACGGATATCACGCCTACGCCATAAGTGACGCAGGTTGGCAAAAGCCAATCGAACATTCTGTATCCGTGCTGAGATTTCGTCAGTCATCAGGATATCTGCGCTGATGAGACTCCCCAGATAAGTGACGTGATCAACACACTCCCTATCAGTAGATCAAGTGCCGATGCAACCCAATCTTGAAGCAACATTTTGCATTTCGACGGGGAAAACCGCATCCCGAACATGCTTGCATTGTTGCTTAGGGTGGTCAGAAGACTCTGCATTTTGTCATTATGTTTTTTTTGACATTTTATGTTACTGGAAAGTAACTAAATCGGAAATTGTCTTTTATTTTTGAAATAATATTCTATTCATGATTACTGTTTATTATTCTGTCATGAGATCATTAAATTTTCTCTGTTTCAGATCTTTTGTTTGATAATACTCTTTTATCACTTAATCAACTGCCAGAATGTAAGTTGTTTACCGTATGCATAACAATCTATGAGTAATTTGTATTCTAATTCCAAATATCATAGAAATGTGTATGATGTTTGATTAAGCGTTTTACACTCTGACTTATGTTGTACATCAAATCTATTATCAGTATAGGATTATTGGAAACTGTTGAGTTTTGATTGAAAGCACTGGATGGCCGTTTCATTTTAGTGTATATAACTCTTCACCAGTGCTCATCTACTACGCAGAAAACGAGAATCGAACCTAGAACCCTTATGTTTGGTGTGCAAACGCTTCAATTCTACACCACTAAGTTTGCTTCCAATGGTTGTAAATCCTTAGCTTCAATTAATCTACGATATTGTGCTACAATCACTCATTGTGTTCAATGAGTAACCGCGTCACATCCTATACGGATTAAACTGTACTTGTCATGCCTACCGTCTAAAAGCTAGATTTAACAACTGTCCAATGCTTTCAATTTCCAAATGGTGATCTTTTACATTGGTCAATTCATAATATCAATATAATCTACTGGTGCTTTTTCGATGGATACTGTAGTCCATGATTTTCATTCTTAGTTAAACGAAAGTTAAAATTTTATCCACAATATTATTATTATTATTATTATTATTATTATTATTATTATTATTATTATTATTATTATTATTATTATGTCTTACATATACATTAAACCTTCTCTTAATGATTATCAGATTATTTCTGGTAAATAAATACCTACTTGATTGTATCTTATTAATAATCATTTTATTTTAATCGAATAACTTAGATTCCTTTCATATTATCGAATTATAATGAACAGTTGAATATAAATGTAAAAATAGCTTGGTCATCAAAAGTGCCGAATTATTGATGCTATTAAATTTATTTATTTTTATAATTTATACTACTGTAATCGATATAAGTAGGCTGAAACAAACAATCAATAGATATGATATAGTAGTGGTTTAAGATTGAACGAAACTTCACCGGCACTTAATAAAACGTGGAAAAAAGTGATGAATCTTTCAAGTCATTTTAGTCCAAGTACATTTAAATTAATTTATCTCTAATATCTGTAACCATTAAACGAATAATAATGCTACAGATAAACGTTATTTATGTAATTATCATTTCTAAGTTAATTAATGTGGTTTTGAACTATAATCCACTGTGACACATATATATTCTGGATTTGTAACTACCTCCTACCTACCTAATCAATCATGCACTTATGACTAGTTAATCAGAATAGATTGAATGAGCGTTTAGATGAGTAAGTCAAGAAATAATAAGTTCGTGAATTTATTGACTTTTAATGACTAACGAAAATGTAAGTAGTAATTGATCGTTTTAGATAAATTCTATGTGTAAAATTTTGACTAAATTTCAATTATAAGCTGTTAATACTTTTAATTATTGATCGAAGTAAGACCACCACCATTAGAAACCTTGAAGCACTGGACGGTTGTTTCGTCCCGCGAGTGGGAGTCGCGGATGGGCACCAGTTAGTCAGTTGCAACGTAGAACATCGTACGTATGTACATAAGTTCATGTTGCCATACCACATTAGCACAGAGAGGCAAATGTCAAATCAAATCCCATAGTGATAAAGATAGTAGAGGTATTAATGGTAATGAAGAAGACTAGGGTTTGAAGATATTATTCAAGAAGTATAATTCAGGGAGATAAGGCTAGAAATACAAAGGTAGAGGTGCTGACGAATCCAGAAGATTAGGATTTGAGAGAGCTCAAAGAATGGATGCACTTGCGCCATTGCAAACGATTTTGAGCCATGTCGTTCAAGGTCTCTAACCATCGATTATTATCATCTCGCGGACCCCAACCAGGTAGTCTACATCTACCAACATGACGGGTACCGCTGATGAATAGTCCCAGTACCAGGAAGAAACGGCCGTCCAGTGCTTCCAGACTTACAAATGAGGTGGTCTTACAGGTTCCGATCTATGATTTTAATATATATATATATATATATCCCGACCGAAGCTGCTACCTTGACGTGGTGGTCAGGCTTGCCTATAGTGATGACCTAACCGAGCTATACTGGCTGGAACATATGTTCCTGAAGGTCCTACCATGCCAGGCTGGTCGATTGGAGAACGATGAGACTAAAAGCAGCTACCCAAGGTCTGAGGGCGAAGTCGTACTGCTGACTGCAGAGGGGTGTGACAGCAGTAAGGTGTTTCCCTCGGACAACCAGCATCTGCAGCGATGCTGCCTTCTTTCTCACAAGGAAGGAAGGGTTAGAAAAGGTCGGCCCTAAAAATGTCACACCTCCCCTAACTCACGGAATATAGATTATACGCCGCATTAGCGCAGTGGAATCAATTTAAAAAGAAGACAAAAGATCGTGAGGAATTCAGAAGATTACAGTTTAACAGAAGAAAAAGAATCGATACATTTACACCACTGCGGTCACGCACCAACACTAATCCATCTTCCTTTTCAGGTCCCTCAAGAAACAACCTTCCACGGTGTGGGCAGCCGGGAAGTGACAACCGCCCTCATACCCATACCAGCACGCGAGACCAAATTGTTCAAAATCAAATCCTTCTTAATATATATATATATATATATATCCATTTATATTTCTAATACCTTCGCTATTTCATTTCTCATATATTTTCTTCATACCTAATTCAACCTGAAGTGTTTATTGTTCATTATACTTCTTTTTTTTTAATTAGCTCCTTCTGTTCTTGTGAATTTTTTACAAATTCTAAATGTATCCAAACAATTTGTCAGTGATTCTAATCCAATCGAATCGAAATTATTCAATCCAAATGTTTTACATGATGTAAGTAAAATATATATGTTTGTGTGTATGTATATATTTCGATTATGACTTTCAATTTGTGTTTGCTTAAAATCTATACACTGGATAGATTTTAATCATATATTATTACACTAAGAACCTATAACAAATACCTTTTATCAATCAGTCAGTAACAGCGGAGAACGTGGTACGTAAGTACATCAGTTCAAGTTGTCATACCTAATTAGCACAGAGGGGTGAATTCGTCAAATCAAAACCGAAAGTGGTAGAGGGTATCGCTTTCTTAGCAGTAATTGAAAAGATTACGGATAGAAGATGTCATTCGAGAAATATAATTCAGTGAAATTAATTTAGAAGGAGAAAGAAACATCATGAAGAATTCTGAAGATTAGAATGCCATTGTTTAGCGGCGTGTCCAGGACGTTCGAAACTAACTGGAAATATTTGTTCTTATCACTAATAGTAGTTTTTTCAACCTGTGAACACATTGCTAAGGGATAATTGCTTCAGACTGATCACATACAGCTTTTATGTGTGGAGAGTTTTTCTTATGTCGGTTTCATATTTTTCTGGTATTACTTTTATATATGGGCTTCGCTAATTTCTTGGTGGATCTTTTCTAATTGTTCCTTTCTCTTATGAATGCTCAACTGTACTAAAGATATTGGTAGTCTGCAGCAAACACACGTACCTACATCAGTTCAAGCTGACATACTACAGACACAGCGAAATCACATAGTTACGGGTCAATTCCAAAGTAGTGGAAATATTAGTGAGAACTGAAAAGATTAGTGTTTTGGAACATGCAGTCAAGAAAATTATGATGAATTTAAAAATTTGCACTTGTTCTATTGAAATAATTTTAAGGTCTTTTCATGCAATCTCTAACTTCTGGTTATGCTTATCAAGTGGAGTCCGACCAGATTGTCTACAGCTATTGAACTGGCTTAAATGAATGATCACTCTGTTCCTGGAAAGGTACCATGTTTTGGTTTGACCGTTCTTAGCTTCGTTCCAGTCTACCCTGTACATTAGATGACATAGTTTGTCTAGGTAGTCAGTGGTTGGGCACACGTAACACATGTGTCAACCACCTCAGCTGTCGAACATTCACTCTGCTAGTCAGTCAGTTACAATCTAGAACTTCGTACGTATGTACATAAGTTCAGGTTGCCGTACCACATTAGCACAGAGACGCAATTATCAGTTCAAATCCCATAGTGATAGAGATAGTAGAAGTATTAGCGGTAATGGAAAAGATGAGGGTTCGAGGATATTATTCAAGAAGTATAATTCAGTGAAATACACTTAGAAAGAGAAAAAGGTGTTGAAGAATTTAGACGATTAGAATTAGACGACGAGAACTCAAAGATGGATGCACCTGCGTTATTACAAACGATTTTAAGGTCATGTCGTTCAAGGTCTCTAACCATGAAGCTTCACTACTTCATCTTTTCCTAGTACCCTTTGCGTAACATCAGTATTGCTTATTTGGTTAGGGTTAGGGTCTCTGGATATACGAGCAATACTTCGAAGACACTCATGGTCGAATACTAGTGTAACTTACGAATATATTCTAGTCTTACTGGCCATGTTGCACACCCGCATAGTAGGATGGCGTGATCTGCTGTTAGCAGACGAATATTTCGCATCCGACGTAATTGACACAAGTTGGCAAAAGCCAATGGAGCCTTTTGTATATAATCAGATCACTGACCAATAGACAACCATTGAATAATCACCTTACCGATTTATACTCATGACTAGCTAATAATAGTATCATCAACATTCAATCTGTATGCAATGATTTTACAAATCTGTACTTGTTCATTGATTTTTTTCATACCTCATCAAACTCTCTCTCTCTCTCTCTGTGTGTTTCTTTCACTACTCCAGTTAATAACAAAATCATCCATCAATTGTTCTCTATTAAGCTCCGATTCGAATGCAACAAAATCTTTATCAACAATGATACATTTTAAATTATTCTTAATGAATTTATACATGAAACTAATCAGTACACGTATTGATCTAGACAATTATACCAATGATGATTTAAACAAATTGATTACATTGACATTTGATCAAGTATTCAATGTGACAACATCCGCATATCATTTATCCAACTTAGAAGTGTTCAATACACCTTATGCGTCGTTGTCGTCGTCGTCGGCAACAGCAACAGCGACATTATCCTCAACCACAGCAATGACAATCAATAAAACACTGCAATCGGAATTGATGAAACAAATATCTGCACTACGTGAATGGATTGATCATCAAAATGTTCATATACTACATTTGTATACTGGTAAACAAGCAGCTCTTGAAGCATGGCGACAAGCAGTTGAAATTAGTTTAGGTTTGTTAACAAATCAAGCACAATATAACAGTGGGGATAATAATAGTAATACAGTACAACAATCTTTAAATCAATCCATAATACCTGTATCAAATTATCTGTATTCGGAATTAATCAGTTTATTACGTTATAATAATCAAAATAATAATCATAATAATAATGGCTACGATGTTGATATTGATGTGGGGATAAATGAAGCAAATCATTTGACACGATATAAATGTCAACTACGTCCTCTTCCAGTACTTTGTTTAGAAGTGCTTATTTTGTTGTTATCTCAGGTAAGAAGAAGAAGAAGCATTTTACTTTCATAACAGTTTGAAAATCCTTATCATATAAAACAAAACATTTTATGTATTGATTAATATATATCATTATTGACATGAAGGAGACGCTTAAATATATTTATGCGTCACATAAATTATTAAATTCATCGGCAGGTTGTGATAGGGTCAGTCTGTCCAAACCTAAAAAGGTGGTTTTCGAGGGGGGGGGCGTGCCACTTTCCGAATCTCGGACCTAGAGGTCTAATCCATAAGGCAGTGAAACAATATCGGTGGATGCAGTTTCATGGTAGTCAGTGACTAAAGTATCGTATCCCTACTACATACTTACGCCTGTTGCCCCCTATAGGAGCGTAGACCTCCGACCAGTATTTATATAGACAAGATATATATATATATATATCGTTGAAATTATGACAAAACTTCCGTCCAGCGCTTACATGTTCCTACTGGTGTTCTAACAATGATTGATTCACGATTTGAATGAAAACTACAAATCTTCATAACTGTATATTGAATATATATGTATAGTTAAGGCGTCCAGGGTAGTAGCAGTCCCTGCCGCAGAAAGTCTCAACGTGCACAGGGAAAAAGCAAGATCCTCCGATGCAGCAGAACGTGCACCAACCAAATCACACTTAATGGAGCAGCTTTGGAAGATATGAAAACCTTTACGTATCTGGGAACCATCATTGATTAGCAAGGTGGATCTACTGCACATGTGAAGGCGCAGATCACTGAAGTAAGGATGATAGCATTTCTACAATCAAAAACTATCTGCAACTCAAAACAACTATCCATCAACACGGAAGTCGTAGTTTTCATTATGAACGTCAAAACTGTTGTACTATAAAGGGCGGGAACTTGAAGAACTACTAATGTCATCATCCAGAAGATACAAATAATTATTAACACTTATCTAAGCAATATACTTCGAATCCGTTGACTAGACATCAACAGTAACCGGGGGGAGAGAACAAACCAGATTTCACTGGAGGAAGGAACTCAGCAAGAAGCGGAGGAAGTGTATGGGACACACATTTATGTATGCACCCAACTGCGTCACAAGGCAAACCCTAACTTGAAATCGTAAAGGCTAAAGGAAATGAGGAAGTCCACTATACACCCTGTGCCGAGAATCAGAAACAGACTTGAAAATAATAAACAGCGATTGAATAGTACTGTAAAGGGAGGCCCAGGACAGAGTAAGTCGGAGAATCCTGGTCGGCGGTCTATGCTCCTCTATTGCAGGTAACAGCTGTAAGTAAGTCAGTAGGTAATGTCGTCAGTATATATTTAATTATACTAGTCAATGAAAGTTCTTTCATCAAAAAAACTGTAATCACTTTTTATATTATCACGTGAATACAACCTTTTTTTATGATACACTGGATTTCCTGTTTTGTTTTTTTACCACTTTTATTCTCCATTCTAATATTCCTCCTATTCCTAGATTTGTTCTGTGAAAGAAGTCCCACAAACTATACGTCTATTAGCTAGTGGTACCAGTTTAACATTGTGTTCTTTTTTACATTATTGTCAATCATCATGTTTGAATTCATCCAAGACAAATACTACGGAAATAACAACAAGTGGACTACTTGGTAAAAATGGTATTTACCAAAAACATTGGTCTCCTCTACTTATCTCAGTAATGGAATTGTTAATCAAATCGATTGTTCGAACTAGTAAGTTTTTCTTTTTTTGTGATGTGATGTGAATTATGTTTTTCAGTACTGTATCTCTGATGTTGTTTGTTTTGTTTATAGTTTGTTTCTTCTCCACTTTATGTCGTCCACATTTGTGACGAATTCAAATTGTACAGACATCTGAAAATTCCCTGTACATTTATTACGCATGGACGTCAATATATCATTTGATTTGCTTGAACTATTATGAGTTTGCCTTAGTCGGAAAACGATAGCGAGAATCGAGAATCCGGAGACACGACAGGCTACTCTAAACCGAGTGTTCCAAACCCCGTTTGACATTGATTAAAAGAAGAAGACTTGATATGGAGTAGAACCTGTATTCTATAGGCATCCAGAAAGTACGAGGTCCGAGTACAGAAGAGGATGAGGATTCCCGGACTAGGGATCCGGGTCCGGTCATAAAACTTTGTAGATGGTGCATATTTATACAGTTAGGTCGAACAGGAAACAAAATTGAAGTCTGTGACATTGATAGTCAGGACGATCGATTTGGGAACAGTATTTGAAGTGTGTGACACTGATATCTAGGCCGACCATAATATTGACCAGTAGGAATTGACCCATAGAATTAGACTTACAAAAATAATTCTCTCGGGATTTTTTATGAATATCCTAACAACACTGTAGCTTAGACGGTTTGCTCTATCGGTAATGGAATGTCGATTGTTTTTTTCAATGTCGTCAAGTAGAAGCTGCTGTTTACGAATCAAAGCAGCAATTTGATGAGCAATTTCATGACTTCGTCAAAATTTTCTGCATATTAGTGAAATTACTAATATTGATTGTAACAACTATACTTTTTTTAATAAACAACATTTCTTATATAATATTGCACTAAGCACTAGTACCAGTTAGGAGTTAGCAGCTAGTTGAAGCAACCTGGGCAGTCAATAAAAAAACGTTTCACGGTTTAATGACCAGAGTTGCATAACAGTTTCAAGAGTTGTTAACTATCTACTACCCACTTCTAATCTTAATTATGTTCACCCCCTGTTTGTCTATTTTTCACTTGTTTATTTAGAAAATTCAACACAGCGTATGCGTGCTAATTATTACGGAAGTTTATGTTACGTGATACGTTTCTGCCGGGATCTTGGTAAGTGAATGTTAGTGAAATTTTCTGTCTTCCTTTCAATATATATGTGTTCCGGTTAACGTTTTTTTTATCAAGTTGGTTTTTTATGGGATCGGTCGCTAACCACCATGTCCAACTCTACTCTATTTATCCGCGCCTGAAACCAGCAGTACTCTCATTCTTCCTTTCTCCTGGTAGTTGATTTGATTATGAAGACGTCAACAGCTGAGAGGAAGCACAGGATACAGTGGACAGATCGGATGCAGCTGGACTCCGCACGCAACAACAAAATGCAGAGTTTCCAATACAGCCGTTAAGGCAGTTCTGTTGTATGGTGTAGAAACTTGGAGAACTACAAATGCCATCGTCCGAAATACACAACTATTTAATAATAGTTGTCTACGCAAAATACTTTGGATCCTCTGGCCAGACACTATCAGCGACAACCAACTGTGGGCGAGAACAAAACAGATTCCACCAGCTGAGGATGAAATCAGGAAAAAGATCTGTAGTTGGATGGGAAACACATTGCGGAAAGCAGCCAACTACATCACAAAACTAGCCCTTTCTTGGAATCCTCAAGTAGAAATAGAAGACTGAAAAAAATTGGAAGCAGATGTGATAGGAATGAACATCAGTTAGGTAGAACTGGAAAATTGACCCAGGACAGAGTAGGTTGGAGAATGTTGATCGGCGATCTATGCTTTATTGGGGGTAACTGGCTTAATTAATATAACATTATGTATATTTAATAAATACCTTATTATTCTTGGTTAACCAGCATGCCTGCTGCACATGCTCGCCGCTGCATTCTAAGCAACACAAGGATTCTCACAAGAGCCAATATTGTTATCACCCCTGCCCCATTCGGGAACGCACATGTCTAGATTGGTCTGCAAGCAGGTCGGATGTCCAAAATGCACGCACACTAGCAGTGGCCCCCATTCGGGCACTTATGAATCAACAAGATCCCTCCAACCAAACCGCACTACCCAAAATCCCCAATCGGCATGAGCGACAAGGCGGGCTTTCCCAGCTAGATCTGGTACCCTGAACGGAGCCACCCATCAGTGCAGTAACCCGCAGCTGTCCCAACTGTCTGGCCTCCTCCAATAAAAAATACCTTCTATTGTTCATCATCATTCAAACCACTTTAACTTTAATTTTCTCTCTGTCTCTTTTCTTTTCTTTTCTTTCCCAACTAGGTCAATCTGTAAAAGATGATCAATCGTCATTATCCAATGATTACACTTCATTAATTGAATGCTTCTCTATATTTAATCCTTCATCAACTATTAACAGTACTACTACTACTGCTTCTGCTGCTTCTGTTGCTACTACTACTAATTTGAATAAAATTCATTCGAATATTATTAATGCATCAGATTTAATACAATTACATTCTATATTAATTGATGATTTAATTCATGGACGGCATACAATGATACAATTATCTGCTTTGAGTTTATTAGACTTGTTAATTTCATTCACACATTGTTCACAACAGCTAATTACCAGTCTTGATAAACAAGGAACTATTCAGGTGAGATTTTGTTTTTTCTGTTTTATGACTGTGATGATTCATGATGATAATGAGGAGGAGGAGGAGGATTGTATTCTCGCCATTATTGATTAGTGTAACACTAGTAGAAGGGTTGTAGGCGCAGTTATTATTAGGGATGTGGAGTTACTCGAATTATTTGTTTCAACCTACGATTATTGCCAAGAATTTTGCTGCTTTAAACTTATTTACGCACCTTTGTAAAATTGACTAAAATCAAGTAATTGCAAGTGAAACTGTATAGAGAGAATCGTAAAAAATGGTCTGTAAATTTCTCTTCATCTTTTCCATCATCACCTTTGAATTAGCACATTGGAATTTACACATCAAATATATTCATTATGTAACGAAGGGAGGACGTTAGATCACCTGAACTCACTTGTAAAAGGTACTAATCTTGGATTTTTTGTTTTCGAGCATAAGTTGCCCAGCTGATCTTGAGATTACATTTCCCACTCGGGAAATCCTTCACTGTTGTCATTGGTTGATGGATTATTGTAGTACGTTATTTTTGTGGCTCCCCCAAGGACGTCTCTGTCATGTGCTTGTTGACCGCGTATTTTCTAGGTGTTTGTAGAATACGCTTTCTACACCTTATCAAGACTTCTTGCTGTAGTTAGCCGGTCGGGCGACAAACGGATTAGAATAGCCTATCGTGTCACTGCATCATTTGTCTTCGCTCCGTTTACCGAGTAAAGTCTACTTGTAAATGTTTCAAGCATATCAATTGACAAGCATATCAAAATGTCATGGGACTGTATCAGTGCGTGATTGTGTAGGGGAGAGTGTTGAAAGAAAGTTACGTAGAGTCAAGTGAAGATGCTGCCTGTTGACCACTGCTCTGTATAGATAGGTACTTGAATGATATCTATTTGTCTTATTTTAAATCTTAACATTCAAGCTTCCTCATAATTTCCTTTCTCTGATTCCTATTCTATTCTGAAATCGTATTTTCGGTAGCCTGGTCATTGAAATTACTGCAAATACTGTTACTACATCCGTTACTTTGCCATTTATCCGAACAATTTCATTTGTCTTTTTTAATATGATATGATAACTTCAGCTGATGCATACCTCGGTCAGGTTCTGACTTGCGCTTGACGGAATAACGCAGTTGCATCCATTTTTTTTATCTTGTCTCAAATTCTTATTTTCCGAATTCATCATCACCGTTCTCTTTCTCTTTTTAACTTTATTCCACTGGATTTTACTTCTCGAATAATATCGCCAAACTCATATGTTCTCCACTATCGTTTACACTGTTACCATCCCTACAACTATGGTATTTGAATCGATAATTCCATCTCTGTGTGTGCTAATGTAGTATGACAACTTGAATTGATGTACGTATGTACGTACAAAGTTCTACGTGGTACATGACTGACTGACCGGTGAGGTTGTTGTAATAAAAAAAGATTTAATCTGAATTAATGTATCCAAAAATGAAACACTGACCAACCTGGTTTTGCACTGGTTTATTACATACGATTACTTCTTTTCGTTTTCATAAAATTTAAGTAAATTTTTACTTCTGATCTTTACTCACTCATTCCATATTACATAATCTAACTTGTGTTTCCGTGCTATTCTAGAATATTCTTGTAAAGTTGCGAGCATCTAAAGAATGGTAATGCTTTCTTATTGTAGATATCCTTGCAATAGTCTATTTCCCCATATTCGAAGTCAGGTTATGCGTGTTAAAGTATGATACATACTTGTTTCAGGTTTTAAGTATTTGAAATTGTAATCAATGGAGGAGAGAATTAGTCAATCAGTTACAACGTACAACTTCGTACGTACGTACACTAGTTCAAGTTGCTATGCCACATTAGCACTGAGGTATAATTGTCAAGAGGTAGTAAAGGTATTAGAAGTAGTCGGCGAGGTTAGGCTTCGAAGGTGTTATTCAAAGAAACGGAAAGATAGAGGTGTTGAAGAATCCAGAAGATTAGGATTTGATTGAACACAAAGAGTAAATGCACCTGAGCCATTGCAAACTGTTTTAAGCCATGTCACTCAGGGTCTCTAACCATCGATTATTATCATCTCGCGGACCCCAACCAGTTAGTCGACAACTACCAACATGACTCATTCCACTTGTCAATGACTTCATGGATTTCTGCCGTATTTTGGTCTGATCGCCCCTAGCTTTCTTCCAACCCTACTCCTACACCGCAAAACATAGCTCAACGACGAGGCAGTCAATGGTTAGGCGTACGTAACACATGTCCCCCAACCAAGAGGAGCGAATATTCACGAAAGAGGAAAATGAATTCATAAACTAATCTAACTATAACATGTTTGGTTCTTTTTCTTTTATTCTAATATCTAAAATAACAAACTTTTCTCTCTTCATTTATTTTGTTTTCTTACCCTTTTTTTCATTTCCATAGCATATCATTGATACAACTATTGAAGATTTACAAATTTTAAGTAAATTTCTTAATTCAATGAACAATAGCACCAGTGTACCAACTCATTCGAATTTCATGTCAATGCTGCAATTGAATCAGGATGAGAACACATCATCATCATCAACGCCATCGTCAATTATGTCATCCTATTTATTGTATCAATCGAAAATGTCAATTCTATGCCGAATTGGCAGTTATTCTATTGGTGCAAAGGTATGTTTATTCTATTGACTATTCCAGTGAATTTGTGTACGTGTAGTTGTAGAGGCTATATGGTTAGTTATCTGTATGAATTATTGCAATCCTTAACGTGGGACATCGGTTTATTGGACTTCTAAGATTCGTTGGATGGACTGTGAGGCACCACTCATTGAGTGTCCTTGTGTTAGATATTCAACTTTTTATATTACGGTATACTTTTTAATTTAGATTCGATCATTATTTCTACTCTAGTTCACAATGTCAATGATTAGTGTTTAGTTAGTACTGCCATTCATATTGTTTCATTTCAAGGAACTGATCTGATATACTTGTGATTGGGATTTCTTATTGATCGTTCGTTTTTTTATTAGTGTTGGGAAATTCCCAAGATATTCCTGGAATAAGTCTCCAGAGGCCTAGAAACGTTTCATTCTATCAGCGTTAAAGAATTTTATTCCACGATTCTGATTGAGTATTTAGCTATACCACCACTTTAATTGACATGGTTCTCGAACCTTTCAGAAGCTCAAGTTTATGAGTAACTTTTTAAATACTCTCATTTTTCTGTGCATAAACTAACCTCGGGGTAAAGCGTTCTTATACTTGTGCGTTTATTCTCTTATGTTTGAGTTGCCGTGTAGATCTTAGCCTTGTATGACATGGATAAACTTCTTCGTAATGGCGTAGAGGCGTCAATTCTTCGTGTTCTCTCGAATTCTAATCTTCTCAATTCATTATCACTTTTATCTTTCCGATTACTGCTCTTACTTCTACTACTTCTACTACCACTATGGGATTCGAATCGATAATTGCATCTTTGTGTGCTGATATAGTAGGGCAACTGGAACTGATCTACGTACGTATGTACCAAGTTGTACGTTGTTGCTGACTGAAATCAGTCAGTCAATCAATTAGTTAGTTAGTTAGTTACAACTCAGAACTTCATACATGAGTACATAAGTTCAGTCCATAAACTTAGGGATGCATTTGTCATTTCAAATCCCATAGTGATAGAGATAATAGTGAGAAGATTGAGACAGGCGAGGAAGATTGTATTATGCAAATTTACACTCAGTGTCAGTTAAAAACGAAAACATTACATTGAACACTCTATTTGCACACAATCTTTGTGTCGTGACTTCCAACGCTCCATCCTTCTTCTTCAATTCCTGTTGGTACTCCATTTACTTCTTGCTTTTGCTCCATTTGCTTTCCGTTTTCCTCTTCTGACCGTGAGACTTCTTCTTTCACGTCCTTTCTTATACTACTTATATCGTTCGTATAAGTAGCATACACCACAATAGTGGTATTAACAGTAGTGAGGAAGATTAGGTTACAAAGATATGACATGCTTCCTGAAATCCTAGTTTAGGATTATAAGAAGTGATTAAGAAATCAGATGTTGTATGCAATTATCAGTTTTTTTGAATATCTCATCTCATGTTTATTACTATCTTTTAGTTTTTTTTATGCGTCGTTTTTTTCTATCTTCTCTCCATTTTTCTTTTTTAGATTTTAACAAATCATGGACTTGTTAATCTTTTGGCTAAATGTGACATATTCTCATTATCGAATTTAGCGAATTGTTATTCATACGGTTTAGATTGTTTGTATATTTATGAAAATGGTACTAATATTATTGGTAGCATGAATCTTTCGCATCAATCTCAACAATCTCAATCTCAATTAATGAATTTAGCTTGGCTTTGTTCATCGAAACTGCAACGTTACTTCAGCACCACCACCACCTCCACATCCACCTCGCCGGCTTCGTCGACTTCGTCAATTGTCTCATTGAAAGTTGGTCATTCCATGTATTTCAATTGCATTGAATCTATTTTAACTGGTTCAATGTTTGAATCCAATTATGAAATGGAAGAGAATGAATGCATGGAAATCAATTGGTCTGCATTAATGATACCAGCATTGAGACTTTTTAAAATTATGATTAGTTCATTAGGTAAACACTGTTTTTTTTTTTCTAGTTGTTCTTACCTAAACCTTTCGCTTTTTTTTGTTAAAAATCGTTAAAGATTAATCGTTCGAATCGTGCGAGGTGCAGGAGTCGTGGATGCGCACTGCCACTGATGAGTCGCATATTAGGACAAAACGGCTTATCCAGTGCTTTCAGGTTTCTTCTAATGATGGTCTAACAATGATTGATTGATTGATGATTTCAAATGTGTAAAAACACAAATCTCCAAAACTCTAACTGAAAATTTATCAAAACAAAAATGATCAATATTAATTTTTTTTACTTTGTAATATGTATCTATATTCTGAAGAATTTGACTGTATCTAATTAAGGACACGTGTGCTATTTATCAGTTAAAGTGGTTGGGACATATGTGTTCCGAATGCCCAACCACCGACTGCCTCAACGAGCGATGTATTGTGTGGTGTAGGAGTAGGTTGGAGAGAAACTAAGGGCGGGCAAACCTAAATATTGCACAAATCTGTGAAGTCACTGATAAGTGGATTGAGTCATGTTAGTAGATTGTACACTAGCTGGTTGGCGTCCGCGAGACTATAGTAATCGATGGTTAGATACTTTGAATGACATGACTCAAAGTCGTTTGCAGTGGTGTAAATGTATCGATTCTTTTTCTTCTGTTAAACTGTAATCTTCTGAATTCCTCACGATATTTTGTCTTCTTTTTAAATTGATTCCACTGCGCTAATGCGGCGTATAATCTATATTCTGTAAATAATCATAATAATTACAGAATTCAGTCGAACCAATTAATTTTACATTTATGATCAGTCTGTAGAATTATATATTGGCTGGAACATATGTTTCTTAACGTTCTACCATGCCAAGCAGGTCGATCGGAGAACGATGAGACTAAAAGCAGCTACCCAAGGTCTGAGGGCGAAGTCGTACTGCTGACTGCAGACAAGTGTGACAACAGTAAGGTGTTTCTCTCGGATAACCAGCATCTGCAGCGATGCTGCCTTCTCACGAGGAAGGAAGGGTTCGAAAAGGTCGACCCTAAAAATGTCACACCTCACCCTACCTCACGGATTTCCTTCTCCTTGGGTAAGGGTGCCCACTAAGGGCTTTCAAGAGCGGGGCTAATACTCAAAAAACCTTTAATAAAAAGGCCGTGCGTGACCGGCCTCAAGCAGTTGTCCCTTGGACTCTGCGGTCACGCTCCCAGGTCATTAAGACTAACGCTAATCCTTTTCATGTTCCTCAACAAACAGTGTTCCACGGTGTGGGCAGCCGGGAAGTGATAACCGCCCTCATACCCGTAACAGCACACGAGACAAAATTGTTCAAAATCAAATCCTTCCTACATTCCCTAATACCTCTCTTATCTCACATTCATTTATTACAGTGCACAGCTAATGCAAACGATGCGAGTTTGCGAAACGTAATTCCTGGTCTCCTGAAACCTCGTTCTAGACCTATATTTTGGATCATTTATTGTCCGAAAATCGTGTCAAATAGGGCAACAGGCTTCATTAGCTAGAACTTAGAATCTCGCGCTGTCGACGTTTCTGCGTCTCGGAAACGCTCATATAGGATCCGACTAGCGTCATTCACTTGACCTCACCATTTCACGATAAAGAATTACAAATAGTATCGTATTAGATTGTTCTCTAATTCCACAAAACATTGATTAGGTTGTACATTTATTTTTATACAGTCATGCAAGGCTTCAATCGAGTAAATATCCGGCTGCTTCAGTGATGCTGTGTTGAGTGCTGTTTTCAGTGGCACGCAACAGATTAGTTGTAATTATTTACTAGATAAAATAATCCCGAAACAGAGAGCACAGTGATAAGCGTGACCAGTGGATAAAACCGTTGAATGATACCTAAAAATCGAACATATCGATCTTAAGATTTCGTCATCTGCCCCTTTTTTTGGAAACATACTCTTAGTGCTCATTCGTTTTCGCCATCTGTGTAGTCGGTACTAATCACAAAGTGGCATATAAGTAGTATGCGGTGGAGCGTCGCCTACACGTTGCTACCGGAGTGAAAATTGTCTGAAGATCTATAAGAACCGTTAGGTGATCGGTTTATTCAAAATTAACGTATAGAGAAGTCAAGGCCGAATAGCAATTATATATATATATATATATATATATATATATATATATATATATATATAAAAGCCATCACCTGGAAGTTCCAAATGTTTATTAACAGTTGTCTACACAAGATATCGAGGATCCGTTGGCCAGACAACATGACCAACAACGTACAGTAATAGATAACAGACCAGATGCTAACTGAGTTGGAAATTCAAAAAAATGAGCTAAAAGTGAATAGGATAAACATTACTTAACTGCATCATTCAACAAGCCGTAAAGTGGAACCATCAAAGCGAATGGAAAAGTTATAGATCAAGGAACACGCTGCACCGAGAATCAGGAATACAGGAAAAGAATGAGTAGCATTTGAGTAGAAATGGAGAAAAAGATTAGGAGCAGAGTAGGTTAATGAATGCTGGTCGGCGACCTTTGCTCCACTGAAGGTAACCGACGCAAGTAGGTAATATCTATATATTGGAGAAAATAGTTTACGAATGTCTGTACACTTCGTTTTCAATCATCAGTTTACAATTCAAGCAAGTTGTTGACTGACTTCTTTCACAAATCTCTCGGTCTTCACTATTATACTCTGATCTCACTGTATACTTTGATCCTCGGATAATTCTCCCTCTACGATGTCAACTCCTAATTGTCGCCCTGATACATACTACTTATATTTCACCTTGTGAGTAGCATTCATCACACACATCATGCTAGTTTGATATTTGTATTATTTATTTGTAGAATGATGCAACTGAATCTTTTTTTTCCCACCACCTCTTAATTTTGCATTCTCGCCTCTATTCTGTTCTGTTCTGTTCTGTTCTATTCTATTTTAAGGTACAACACATATGTCAATTCATCAACAAATTGTTAATTTCTTATATACACATTCAACTTCATTTTTGTGCAATGAATTACAATTGACCAGTGCACTGATTACATTTTTAAGTCGTCACGATTGGTCTTACGTCAATCATCATCATCATCGTCAACAACAACCGATGAATTCTAATTGGTTGATACAATGGTTAGCATCTGAAACAAATATTATCAATCTGTTTAGTTTAATTATGCCAAATTGTATTCATTCTGCGAGTATATCATGTTCCGATGAGTAAGTTCATGTTGTTATACTACTGTTATTATCTATTAGTAGTACTATTGTTAGTAAACACTAATTGTTGTAGGTAGTTCTTTGTTTTGTTTATGAGATATTATATATTCCAATACATAAACTTACTGTTTAAATGGTGTTGTTGTTGTTGGTTTCTATTCGGAATTGTCAATGTATTACCCGGTATTAATGTTTATGTATGCCGTTCCCACAAATCATACATCAACATTCAATTGAGTATACTATGGTAGTGATAAGATCGAATGCAGTCACTGGTATTGTATCTTAAATGGAAGCTTTTCAGTGTAAACGTTAAGTGTTATGGTGCATCGATTGTTTAGGCACTAAAATCAAATCAATCGCTTACCAGTTTATTGATATCATGAATTGATCAATCTGAGACCATCATTAGAAACCTGGATGCACTGGACGGCTATTTCGTTGTGGTAAGTGTTGGCGAAGTTAGATCCTCAGAACTCGATTGATAAATGTCTTAATTTTAGATTTTATTCATGGGCTGATCATTTGACCTTGAGATCATATTTCGCACTAGAAAAATCCTTGGCTGTGGTTGGTTGATGTGTTGTTTTAGTACTTCTCATGATTCTCCGAAGGACGTTTCTATGATGCATAAATAAACGCGATTTGTGTGCTTGAGATCATTGTATTTGCTGGGTGTTTGCAGAATACAATTTCTACGCCATATCAAGACTTTTTCTTCAGTTTGTTGGGGCAACGGATCAGAGTCGCTTACCGTGTCATTATCTCGTTCTCGTTTATCGACTTAGGTGAACTCGTAATAGTTTCAAACATATCATGTGAGGAGCACAACAGTATGGCAACTCTCACTGGTGTACATCAAAGATCTTCAAAATCGCAAGCAAGCGCCCAACTCCCACACTCAACGGTGTTAATTTCTAACGTCGATCAATCGACAATATTATGTGACTATCATTTATTGTCTTCAATGAGAAACTAACTGCCTCACACTCAAAACACAGACTGAACTTCACTGGCCAGGACTTTCTCATTAGAACTCTAAGAATCCTTTCACAAAACCAGACGAATCAGTCATCCAGCGCATCCAGGTTTCCAATGATAATCTAACATTAATCAGGATTCGTGATTTAAATGACAATCAACCATTTACACAATCCTTTACAGAAATTTACTGGTTGTTTGTTTATTTGCTTTTAAACTACAAGGAGCATCTAGTTTAATTTTGTTTGTGTTTATTTACTTACTTACGTCTGTTACTCGTCAATAGAGCAACATAGGCCACCGACCAGCATTCTCCAACCTACTCTTTTCTCTTCCTTCCTTCCTAGTTCATTCTTTTTTTTATATCTAAGTTTCTCGGCATAATGTGTTTTTTTTTACCTTGAGAAGTCCAAGTGAGGGCTTGTCTGGTAACGCAGTTGGGTGCTTTCCTCAATGTGTGTCCTTTCCACTTCCAGCGCTTCCTATTGATTTCCTACTCCGCTGGAACCTGGTTTGTTCTCTCCCTGTTGTAGGTTGTTACTGATGGTGTCTAGCCAACGAATTTGAAGTATTTTGCGAAGACAACGGTACATAAATACTAGTATCTTCTGGACGATGGCTTTCATAGTTCTCCAAGTTTCCGCTCCATACAGTATAACTAACTGTCTTGATATTTTTGTATTAAAAAATTGTGACTTTGGTGTTTGTTGACAGTTGTTTTGTGTTTCAGGCGTTCTTCAATTGTAGAAATGATGCTCTTGCTTTGTTGGTGTGCGTCTTTTGATGACCCGACCGAAGCTGCTACCATGACGTGGTGGTCGGGCTTGTCTGTCGTGATGATCCAACCGAGCTATATTGGCTGGAACATATGTTTCTGAAGGTTCTACCGTGCCAAGCAGGTCGATTGGAGAACGATGAGACTAAAAGCAGCTACCCAAGGTCTGAGGGCGAAGTCGTACTGCTGACTGCAGAGGGGTGTGACAGCAGTAAGGTGTTTCCCTCGGATAACCAGCATCTGCAGCGATGCTGCCTTCTCACGAGGAAGGAAGGGTTCGAAAAGGTCGACCCTAAAAGTGTCACACCTCACCCTACCTCACGGATTTCCGTCTCCTTGGGTAAGGGTGCCCACTAACGGCTTTTAAGAGCGGAGGTAACACTCAAAAAAGTCTCATAAAAAGGCCGTGCGTGACCGGCCTTGGACTCTGCGGTCACGCTCTCAGGTCTCCAAGACCATCACTAATCTATCTTCCTTTTAAGGTCCCTCAGGAAACAATCTTCCACGGTGTGGGCAGCCGGAAAGTGATAACCGCCCTCACAACCGTAACAACACACGAGACCAAATTGGTCAAAATCAAATCCTTCCTACCCTTTTTGATGATATTATAATCCATATTAGTTATTTTTACTACAATATACCTTTTATATTTTATTTTTTTATTCTTTCCCATATTATTATCAGGTATTCCAATCTTCAACGTGAAGTAATCCAGTCGAAAATTCTACGTCATACATTTGAATTACTCACCAATTTAATGCATTCCAATCATATTTCACTAGATAATCATCTTAATCATAATGATGCTAATGATGATGATGATGATGATGATGATGTGAATGATATTTGTCGAAATGATAAATTTCATAATGTCAATTTAGCTGTTGAGCATTTATTCATTGAAACACAATTTATTCAATTATTGTCAAGTTTATTACTTGTCTTAACTACATATTTAAGTACATCATTACAGAATAGTAGTAGTAGTAGACTGCGTAAATTTACTCTAGATGATTATGCACGAAATGATAGAACACGTTTATTATATCAATTTTTCAATGTGAATACAATGAATGCCGAACAAGGTGAGTTTGTTACTACTTTCTTTCTGTCTCATTTTTCTTTTTAAAAGTAGCGTATGTGTGTGTGTGTGTTTCGACGTTCTAGCATATCACTTGACTGATTTAGTCAATGTAATGTTATTGTTGGGGATGTTAGATACCTAGAATTCACTTGATAAAGGTCCTAATTTTGGATTCTTTGTGTTTTTGAGCATAAGCTGTTCAATTGACCTTTCCGACTCTTAAAGTCTTTGATCATCATTGGTTGATTGATTATTTCAGTACGCTATTTTGTGTCTCTTCCAAGGACGTTTCTATCTGTTGCACATGCACGTAAACACGTCAATTTGATATACTTGAACTAATACGAGTTTACCTTAGTCGGAAAACGAGAGCGAGGGTCCGGCGGTACGACATGCTGCTCAATCCGATTATCCCAACCTCCATTGAATAAAAGAAAAAGGCTTGATGTGAAGTAGAGCCTGTATTCTACGAGATCCGAGTCCAGAAGAGAATCAGCATCCCAGAATAGGGATCAGGGACTGTGTCCTAGTCATAGAACATTACAAATAATACGTATGTATACATTTTGGTCGAATAGGAAACAGCATCGAATTCTGTGACATAGACAGTTAAGACGACCAATAAGAAACAGCATTTGTAGTGACATTGAAATTCAGAACGACCAATAAAAAACAACTTCGGAGCTCGTCACATTGATATCTAGAACGATCATAAAATGGACCAGTAGAAATTAACTAATAGGAACTGACCAATAATTGTCTTAGGATATCAGATGAATATCCTAACATCTCCCTCTGAAGAAATTGAAGCGACTCAGGACAGTTTATTTGGATCTGGACTATTGTTTCCTGCTGTCGGGGAGGATATTTTTTGGAACGGACATAAGGACTAGTCTTGGGTACTTCTGAGTGGGTTGGCTTCTTCTTATATGCCTGATGGGACATCTGCTAATGTTAGCTGTTTGAACCAATCTAACAGATTGATTTTAGACCGGCTCTCGGATTGAGATGAAGTGAGGTGGACTGGGTGTTGCAGGGGGCACATTGATTTGATCTACTATAGTCGTGTCACTATGCAGTTTGGTATGTATCAACATCTTCATAACACTATCATGTATAAATAAGCCCAATTTGTGTGCTTGCCAACCTCGTATTTTCTGGGTTCTTATAGAATTCACTTTCTACGCCATATCAAGAATTCTTGCTACAGTTAGCAGGGCCGGGGACAAACGGATTAGAATAGCCGATCGTGTCACTGCATCATTGATCTGCGCTCCGTTTACCGAGTAAAGTGAACTCGTTAATAGTTTCAGGCATATCAGTTGTTTATCATTGAAATCATAAATCGACTCATGTCAGGTCACCATTAGAAACCTTGAAAGCCCTAGATGGTCGTTTTGTTCTAGTGTGCGTGTTTGCGCACAAGACTTGAGGGTCATGGATGTGCTCTGCTGATGAGTCCCATTCATGAACGAAACTGTTGCTTCCAAGTTCTTAATGATAGTCTGATTGATTTGTGATTTCGAAGAAACTCAACGATCTCCACAACTTAATCATGATGATGTTGTTTAACTAAATAGTTTAGCAATTTAATTCTTAAAGTAATAAGACTATGAAATATCATCAATAGAAGAAAGTTGATGTTTATGTCAACCAATCACAACGACCACCACTACCAATTATCGATTATATGTACATTATCCTTGTGATTAGTGTAAGATAGCACGTCATCCTAATTTCCTATACAACATCCCTGCCATGAAATTCCGGTGTATATAAGGCTTTCCTGTCAGTGGCTATATAAGTGTATTTAGAAAGGAAGGAAGACCTGGTTCTTACTGCTAATTTGGGTACATGTAAATATGTAGTTTCTAAACTGAATTATATTATTATATATTATATTCAACTGTAAGAGCATCTTGATGTATTGAGCATAATATTCATATTCATCCACACCATTGAAATTGAAGATTTTAACTGGTTATATCTTTATCTCAAACGCTGATGTTCACATTGATTTATTGCTTGTAAAAATTTATTCTATGTTAAATTTGTCATTTTTCATTATACAGTTATGAAGATTACTGAATAATTTCATTGAAAATATGAATCAATTAATGTTAGATCACCATCAGATAGAAGATACCTGGAAGCATTGGATGACCTTTTTGTCATCCTAGTATGGAATTGATCATCAGTGCTCATCCACGTGCCTTATAAGTGATTAGCTACATCAGGAAATTCTTGGTGTCAGTGAGAAGCCGTGACCAGTTGAGTTCAACCCTGTCGTGTGTGAGGCAGTTACTTACCGGATACAACAGCTTAGGTTCCGCCGTATCAAGGATTGGATAAAGTTAGACATTTGGTGGATGCCACCGGCTGAGTGGTCTAGAGGTCCAGCATTTTTGCGTGGCAGACCGAAGGTCGTGGAATCGACTCTCGTGAGCGCAGGTCATGGATGCGCAATTTTGAAGAATCCTATACGAAACGGACGAAACGACCGTCCAGTGCTCCCTGATTTTTTTTCTAATTGTGATCTAACAGCGAATCAATTCAACTTTAATTTGTTAGTGAGAAAAATAAATAGAAGATGAGACTTTACTTTGTAACTGGGTTAATTACACCGTAATCTACGATTCCCCTTTAGTCTTCTTCAATAAATATTTTCTTTATTGTAATAGCTTCGCCTAGGGCACCAATGGGGCCACTGCCATTCCAAAGTCGACAATTACCGACTTAGCCATGTCGGTAATTGTCGACTACCTGGTTGGGGTCCGCGAGATGATAATAATCGATGGTTAGAGACCTTGAATGACATGGCTCAAAATCGTTCGCAATTGCGCCAGTGCATTTATTCTTTGTGTTCTCTCAAACCCTAATCTTCTGGATTCTTCAACACCCCTAGTTTTGACTTTCTAAACTTTTCTCATTTAATCATACTTCTTGAGTAGTATCTTCTAATCCTAACCTCTTCGATTACTTCCATATACCTTTACTACCTCTTCTACTATTGGATTTGAATTGACAATGATATCTGTGTGCTGATGTGGTATGGCGACATGAACTGATGTACTTACGTACGACGTTTTACATTGCACCTGACTGACTGACTGACCTGACGAAGCCCAGATAAAGGAGGTGGATGGGGCGTGTGGCGCAACTCATCCCGTATAAAACCATCTCGTTAAAAAAAACAAAGATGTGTATCCACTTAACTAATTGTTAAATGATTCACTAGTTATTCGTATTTTCATTATTATATACATATTTTTCTTCTGATATCTTCATTTTAGAAAATTCAGCCAATAGTATAAAAATTCAAAATTTACTAACATTAATTGTTCAAATATTACAATGGTCATTGAAATGTTTAAGGAGTAAAGAGAAATGTTGTTTAGCATTATTGATCAATGCACAATTTCTTCATGATAATAATAATAGTCGTATCATAAAAGAATCCAGAAATAAAACAATTGGTGAACAGAAAAATCAACAACAACAGCAACAATTTGGCCAGTCTATTGTTCAATTATTAAATGTATGTTGATGGTTGTTCAATTTTCTTGCCGTTTGTTTTATTGTTATGATGTTCAGTGTCATTCGATTTGAACGTGATACGTGATAAACCCCCTCCAAACAAAACCTGGCTGTGGTGCGAGCTACTTATAAGTAGTATATGACGTGAGTGTCAACGTAATGTCTGGCAGCAGAAGATGGGGAAAGATCAAGAAACGAAGAGTTAGAACACAATGGAATTTGTATGAAATGCATGAATAATGACAATGGATTGATGTTTTACAACAGGAACAGTCTAGTTCGATATGATGAACTGTTATTTTGCAAATGAACGATTTACGATATGGTTTTCCAATTTTACTGAGTAACTCTGTCATTTTCGTTAAGTACAATTCGGTTGCCCCACCTGTGTTCTCGTTCACTACACGGCTACTTTAGTGGGAACACAAAAGTAGAAGTAAAAGTCTCTCTATATATAAATTATGAATCGATCAATGTCAGACCACCATTAGAAACCTGGAAGCTCTGGATGGCCATTTCGTTCTGGTATGGGACTCATCAGCAGTGCTCACTCACGATGCCTGCAACTCGCAGGATCCAAACCGCATGACCTTCGGGTATTGCGCGCGAACGTCTAATCTCTTGACCGTTGAGCCGGTATCTAACAGTGTCAATGCCTAACTTTGATCATTCCACAGTCTTGAGAAAAATCAATCCATTTCTTGACCAGTGATATTCATTCGTCGTCTAAGACATTTCTGATAGTCTTCAGATCGCCTTCTTTTGACAGCTCTGCTCGACTCACTTGTCTTATTTCTAAAATAAAATATTCAAACTGTCTAATTTCGGATAACGATTTGGTGTGTGTAGTCTGTGTGAACTAAGCTCATTTCACTTATTGTTTTCATTCCTATGTTTGTCTGCATTTTCAAGTGTCTGAAATAAATTCATCACACTAAGGTAGTTATTAAGAGATGTAGGAATGAGTTGATTCTGACCGAGTTGATCTCGTGTACTGTTAAGGCGATGAGGGTTGAATTCACTTCCCGATCGCCCATACTGTAGTAATTTATTTCTTAAGGGACCTGAAAAAGAAATCGGGTTAGCTTTCGTCTTAGAGACGTGGAAGCATGACCTCATAAGTCAACAGTCAACTGCTTCAGGCCGGTCACTCACGACCTTTTCATAGGACAATTTTAACGCTTTAGCTCCGTTCTTTAAAAAGATATTACCGCTGAAGTCTGAAATCCGTGATGTAAGGTGAAATGAGACGTTTTTAGGACTGACGTTTGGTAAACGCGTTTCTACGTTGTGAAAAGACAGCCCCGCTGCAGGTGCTGGTAGTCCGAAGGAAACACCTTACTTCTGTCACACCTTTCTACTGTCAGCATCATGGCTTCGTCCTCAGACCTTGAGTTGCTGCTTTTTTAGTCTTACCGTATTCCAATCGACCTGCCTAGCATGGTAGAACATATAAGAAACAGGTGTTCCAACCAATCTAGCTCAGTTACTTTTCATTGAAACCGTGAGTCAGTCATTGTTAGACCATCATTAGAAACCTGGAAGCAGTAACTGCCAAATTGATAAATGGTAGACACTAACACCGTTGGTGCAGAGGTTAAACGTCAAATTTCTACTTTTAAACAACCAGATAGAGTATACTGTACAGTTTCACCAATCAGTTATTTTATGATCCTGTTCATTAATTATTTAGTAAATTTATTCTTCTTGTTTCCTTGTTGAAAAAAAACTTAAATCACAGTGTGAATCATTCAATGGAAATTTACCAATCAATGAATTAAAACAAGCTTCTTCGATCATATTCAAATTTCCTGTACATTTGTTGAATTCAGTTGAGTAAGTGATTTTTTATTTGTTTTTTTCCTTAATTGTCATTTGGAATTATGGATATATTACTTACTTACTTACGCCTGTTACCGTAGTGGAGCATAGGCTGCGCCGACCGGCTAATCAACCTTTTATTCTCTTACAACACTCTGTTGAAGACTTTCCCTATTATTGAGAGAAAAATAATGCCTCTGTAATTCTCACGCTTGCTGAAATCGCCTTTCTTTGGTATCGTGATTAGGTGTCTTTGTTAGGATATTCACCAAATATCCTAATTGGAAGTATAATCCTATTGGTCGAAATTATGGTTTTTTCAACTGTCAAAGTCAAATACATCAATGCGGTCTCTTATTGGTCATCCGGACTGTCCATGTCATTTCAAATGTTCTTTCCTATTGGTCATCCTAAACTGCCAATGCCACAGACTTTGATGCTCTTTCCTATTCGACCTAAATATGTGAATACGCACTATCTGTAAGACTTCATGTTTCCCCGTTCCTTCCTGCCTACCTCTCTTCTGTACTCGACCCAATATACAACTCCAATGGTGTTGCATTCTGACATATAGTAGATTTGGGAATAGTATTTGGGTCGCATTGGAATATTTGAATTCGGACGTCGGTAGGATTTGAATAGCTACGTAGCAACATTATAACAGTCTTTATTTCCAGTCTAATAGTACTTGTTCCTCATCCCAAATCTTGCTGAAAAGAATGTGTATTATCTTTGTAGTTACTGTTACGTCTGCTTTCAATGCCTCTGTTAGAATGTTGTATGGTCCCATTGCTTTGCCCTCTTGATTTGTCTGATGACCATACCGATTGCTTTCATTGTTGGTGGATCAACATTATTAATTGTGAAGTTCTTGGTTGCAACTTCGATGTTAGGTGGGTTCAGTGGGGCTGGTCAATTCAAGAGTTCTTTAAAGTGCTCTCTGCCTACCTGTTTCGCTGTTCTTCAATGTTGGTGTTTACTTTGTCTTTCTTTCTTTTCACTGGTCGTTCTGGTTTATGATATTTTTTTTCCGAAAGCCTCTTCGTTGTCACATGTTTCCTGTACAACTATATACGTTATTGGTTTTTATTTATGAAGAATAAACCAATATTGTATGTATGTAGCAAATGGACAAATCAACAACAACTACACCTATCGAACATAGTTAAGATCAAGTAATCCTACCTTGTAGTAAAGTTTGGTGTTAGCTGACGGACAATATAATAGAAATTTCAAAGAAATGGATAAACCCAATACAATTTAAACCAATTACATTTTCCTGAAAAATACCGGTTAATAGAGCTGACATGTTGAACAGCATCAGTTCCTGCACAAGATTGAATGTACTCATTACCGGCGATTGATAATTAACATGAAATCTAGGTTATACAAGTAGTAATGTAATCTGGAAATAAGTCAAGGTAACCTACTTCACTTACGCATATTAAAACTAATGAAGCACAGGCCGCCGACCAGCTAATTATTTTTCTGGTCGGCGTTTTTTAGCGAGTTGCATTTATAAGGTACGGTGTCGCTAACTCAATGCCCAACCCTCCTCTTTTATCCGAGCTTGAGACTGACTGTAACCCTAGAAGGGGTCCAGGTGGGAACAAGTCAAGACTAGAAGAAATATATGTACAAATTTGAAGAGGACATAGTTTTCAAACATATACTTACAATCTAAGCAAGTTGTTGATTGCCTTCTGTCTATTCTTCAATGTTACTCTCATTACGCAACGGATATCGATGTCCAAACCCTCCTCTGCATACTACTTACGAGCTATTTTGTGAGTAGTTTGATTCATCACATTACTCCTGTTATATATTAATCAGCATGTAATTACTTTATTTTTCTTTTTTTTTTTAAATATTAGTCGAATTTCTATTGGTAAAGAAAATCACAATGCTGAAATTCAAATTGTACAACGATTAACTCAACTTGGTGTCAGTTGTTTACGTGTTCAACTACGTGGAATTATTGGTAGGTATATTTTCAAGTATTGAATAGTTATGAAGTGTTTACTGAGTACACTAGCTCATTTCAAATGCACTTTTTATGTATTATTGTCAAAAAGTTTATGAAGGTTGTTGATACCAATCATGTAAACACAGCCGCCTTAGTCACTAATTTTAAGAGGTAACTCTTTGAGTTCTGGTTGAAAGTCTCTGCTAAAATAGTTCAGCCATGAATGGCACATACTCCACCAACAGTGACATTGAAAGATGCTTACGGAACAAAGTGAATCGACTGAAGACTATTTAATCTTTTAGTTTGATTCCTGACGGTGTAGTTAGTTGTTTATGTTTTGTGTTAGGATGAAACGAATTTCCAGTGTTTTCTAGTTCTCATTGATTTTTAATTAAGTTTGGTTCGTAGTATGAATCATTTTCGATTCATTTTATTCTTTGAATAAATTGTTCTTTTCAGACTATATGTGAGACTACTACGCAATGCTAGTGTTTGGGAAAAGGGTATTAGGTTAAGAGGGTAGATCAATAGATGAATTATGGAATCTTTATCAGTTGAGGTGGTTGGGACATGTGTGTTCCGAATGCTCAACCACCGACTGCCTCAACGAGCGATATTTTTCTGGTGTAGAAGTAAGTTGGAAGAAAGCTAGGAGAGGCCAAACCAAAACACGGCACAAATCCATGAAGTCAATGACAAGTGGACTGAGTCATGTTGGTAGATGTAGACTACCTGCTTAGTGGCCGTGAGACGAAAGTCACCAGTGGTTAGAGACCTTGAATGACATGACTAAAAATAGACAGATACAACACAGAACTTCGTACGTAAGTACATCAGTTCAGGTTGCCATAACACATCAGCACAGAGACGCAACTGTCAGTTCAAATCCAACAGTGATAGCAATAATAGATGTATTAGCAGTAATGGAGAAGATTAGGGAGCGAAGATATGATTCGAGAAGTATAATTCAGTGAGATAAATTTAGAAGGAGAAAGATAGAGATGATGAGGAATGCAGAAGCTTAGAATTTCGTAGGACACAAAGAGTGGATGCACCTGCGCCATTGCGAACGATTTTGAGCCATGTCGTTCAAGGTCTCTAACCATTGGTGACTATCGTCTCGCGGACCCCAACCAGGTAGTCTACATCTACCAACATGACTCAGTCCACTTGTCAGTGACTCGATGGATTTGTGCCATGTTTTGATTTGGCCGCCCGTAGATGGCTATTTTTTTTATATGGCTAAAAATCGTTTACAATGGCACAGGTGCATCCATTGTTTGTGTTCTCTCTAATTCTAACCTTTTGGATTCCTCATCATCTCTATCTTTCTCTTTCTAAATTTATGACATTGGGATATACTTCTTGAATGATACCTTCGAACACTAACCTATTTGGTCATTTTTTTTTCATTTAGAGCATTTACACATTTGAAACCATTAATCAATCATTGCTATACCACCATTAGTAACCTGGAACCACTGGACGGCTGTTTCGGCCTGGTATAGGACTCATCAGCATTGCGCACCCACGACTCCTGCACCCCGCAGGATTCGAACCCGGGACCTTCGGTGCACGAGTCGTGGATGTGTACTGCTGATGAGTCTCATACCAGGACGAAACGGCTGTCCAGTGCTTCCAGGTTTCTAATGGTGGTCTAACAATGATTGATTGATGACTTTTTGTTTACCCGAAATCTGCTACTTCTGTTACTATGGAATTTAATCGACAATTTCATCTCTTTATGTTATAATGTGTTATGACAACTTGAACTCATGTTTGCATGCACGTACCAACTTCTATGTAGTTGCTGACTGATGTCGAACAGCACAAAATATGAGTTCTTGGCGCCATTGCGCCACATCACATAATATCACTGTTTTTTCTACTTTCAACTTGTTCTATCTACTTTTCAACTATTATTCTCGTTTGTTTGTTTGTTTTTTTTTTTTCTTGTTGATTTTTAGGCATCATTGAACAGTCAACATTTTTATTATGGAAACATTTAAATTATCTCATCAATAATCCAGATGTGTTTTTAACCAAGGAGAATAATCAAGAAACACCTTCGCATCATCAACACGCATCACATTCAATGCGTAATCTTTCCACTACTGCATATATTGCTTCTCCAATAAAAAATTCTTCTCTACCAACAACAAATATGAATACACCGTCCAGATATAATAGTGCATTAATGAATACAACATTGAATCAAGCTAATAAAAGTACATTGTATAAGAATATGCCTTGGTTACGTAATTATTGTGAACATTTACAGGGAAATGAAGTAATGGAAATGTTAAATCAGTTGACTAAGGTAATCATCACATAATTGTACAACAACCTCTTTAATAATATTATTATTATTATTATTATTATTATTATTATTATTTATAGTCGTTTATTATGCTAATTTATTGACTGACACGCCTGTTACCCCGAAGGGAACATTGGTCGTCGACCACAACCTACTCTGTTGATTCTTTTGATGTATTCTTCCAATTACCGGTGTGATGTGTGTTCTCTGGTTTTCCTCGACGTTGAAGATTTGAAGTTAGGGTTTGCCTTGTGACGTAGTTGGGAGCTTTCAAAGAGGCCTCAGAACTCTTCTCAAATGAAGACTGCACAACTCCTTGGGCAGAGTCGAAATGGTTTGAATCATTTGTTCTGGTTGGCGTTTTTTTAGCCAATCGGTTTTCTACGGGATGGGATCACTAACCCCTATACCTAACGTTTCTGCTTTATCCGGGTTTGGGACCGATAGTAACTCTTGAGGGGATCCCGGCGCAGTTTAATGTGGTACTATTTTGACCCATTTCCACCTAAAACGTTGAAATATTAACGTAAGATTTAGTTCGATGAATGAATACTGATTGTAATTATTAAGCAGATTAAATCAATCATAGCCTTCAGGAAACGATCTAGAAAATGCAGAATCACATGCTACGATTGTGATTGGAAAATTAGTCATGTCATCACTATATTTAGTATGACTATCAAAACTTCCAGAAGCCTAAGGCCATGGATAACCACCCTTATAAATACCCTCGTTTTGCTGTGCATAAACTAACCTTGAATTGAAGAGTTCTCTTCATAATTCGTGCCTTTTGTTTCTCATGTCCAAGTTACCGTGTAGATTCAATCTGGGGGTAATTGGAAACGGCTACAAAATCAGATCTTGTATTCATTTAGCAGGTTTATCAATAAGATATGTTCGAAATGCAAAAAAATTTGCAAAATATTGTTTCTAATGCAGTAAAAACTATGCTTAGACAACGGTGATGTAACTCACGCATTAATGTTTTGTTTATTTACTCAGCTTTTAACGCATTTTCGAATGACTGATATTTTACCTTAATCTAACTGTTTAAAGGGAATTTTCTTAGTCGGTAGCATTAGACAGCCATTTCGTTCGTAGTAAAGGACTTCTCAGCAGTACACATCTATATCATCATAGGCGGGAATAGAAGTCAGGATTTGCAGTCTTGCTTACAAAAACGCTTAACTCTAACTCTAGACCACACTGGCTTACCAGTATTCAATGGTGTTCATCATGTTCAACTTCGATTCATGATCGCGTACAGACAGACAGACAGATACAATGCAGAACTTCGTACGTAAGTACATCAGTTCAGGTTGCCATGCCCCATCAGCACAGAGACGCAACTGTCAGTTCAAATCCAACAGTGATAGCAATAATAGATGTATTAGCAGTAATGGAGAAGATTAGGGAGCGAAGATATGATTCGAGAAGTATAATTCAGTGAGATAAATTTAGAAGGAGAAAGGTAGAGATGATGAGGAATGCAGAAGGTTAGAATTTCATAGAACACAAAGAGTGGATGCACCTGCGCCATTGCATACGATTCTGAACCATGTCGTTCAAGGTCTCTAACTATTGGTGACTACCGTCTGGCGGACTCCAATCGAGTAGCCTACATCTACCAACATGACTCAGTCCACTTTTCAGTGACTTCATGGATTTCTGCCATGTTTTGGTTTGGCCGCCCCTAGCTTTCTTCCAATCTACTCCTACACTCCAAAACATATCTCGTCGAGGCAGTCGGTGGTTAGGCATACGTAACAGATGTCCCAACCACCTCAACTGATGAAGTTTTACTACCTCATCAATTGATCTGCCATCCTAATCTAGCACCCGTTTCCTAACGACGGCATTGCTTATACGGTTGTCCCAGGATAAACGAGCAATGCTTTGGAGACATCGATGATCAAAGACTAGTAACCTACGGAAGTCCTCTACTCTTAACGGTCAAGTCTCTCATCCGTACAGTAGGACGGAGCAAACTGCTACACAGTACACTCGTCCTTTGGTTAGGAAACAGATATCTCGCCTGCGCCATAAGTGACGCAAGTTGGCAAAAGTCAATCGAGCCTTCTGTATCCGAGTTGAGTTTTCGTCAGTCACCAGGCCATCAGCACTGATGAGACTCCCAAGATAAGTTAAGTGATCGTGTACAAACTTTCTCCGATCCCTTCTGCCTGTAACTATCTCCACTAATCACAAAATTCTACTAAGCATAGAGAGATTGGTGTTTCAATTTGCCGTTAAACAATTAAAATTATTGAATACTTTGATAAATTTAAATAGACACACCATTTTTTTTTTAACTTCAACTTTATTTTTTAGGCTGCTTATTTAAAACAAAACCAACGTTTATTTATACAAGTAATGCATGATCGTTTAGAAAGAATCATACAAAAACAGCTGATGAGTAATAATCATAATGACAATAATAATAATAATATTAATAGTAATAATAATCTTACATCATTATCAACAATACAAACACCAACTGGATGAATGAATTTTATGAACAATTACTGTTGAACAAACAATTATTCAATAATTGTACATTATAATTGTGTATATTTCTATTGTATGTGTGTATATGTATGTATGCATGCATGCTAAATTGTTATTTGTGTTTTTGATTGTGCGTTTGTAAAATAAACAACACAAATTATGAAAAGGCGAACTAAAAGTGTTACATCGATGTTATCCGAACATTGGTTAGTCGAGTTCGCTTACAATGAATGATGTCCCAATCGAGCTGTACTAGCTGGAACACTTGTTTCTTCAGGTATTGCCATCCTAGGTTGGGTCAATTGGAAAGATTAAAAGCACTAAAACGGATTTTCTGAAAGCTAAGTTCCTTACTTGAATTGACTTTTCTGTTTAACGTTTTTTAGCGAGTTAGTTTTCTACAAGATAGGGTCGCGCAACCCTTCTCCTTGGAACCGGCAGTAGCCTCAGGGGGTGCTTTAGGCAGCGTTGAGAGTGAAGTTCCGCCGCTGACTAATTGTACCAGTTGTGTGGTGGCAGTAAAATGCTTCCTTCAGACAACCAGCACCTTCAAAATGAAGATGGTCTGAGAAATTCAGCTACAAAAATAACACACCTTGTCTTGTCGCAAAGACTTCTGTCGGAAACTCAAACATATTTGAAGTATGAAGCTAACATGTCAAGAACTACTCACAAGATAAGTGTGTGAATGACCTCAATTAGTTGTTCTTTAAGTTGTTAGGTCACTCTATCACGTTGGAAAGACTACTGCTAATCCCATAAGTAGTTAATCGTTAACTGTATCTGTAACCAGGTAATAACTGCTCACCTGCTGCTTATAGAACTCGATTTCATTCTTGTGAGGTTGCTCGATTTCTGATAACGAGTGAACTGTTTTTTAATTGTGGTCGATTTTCTTCTAGAGACTGGTAGCAGTAATTAATCTTGTAGTTTTGGCGATAATATTTGCTTGCGTTAATAAATTCCATTATATGCTTATATTTAGGAAAAAAGATATTACTGCGTGTTTGCTCTTTAAACTAAGAATACGTTATGTGGTTTGAAGTTGGTTGACTCTATCCAAGTAGAATAATTTTATTCTCAGAATCCAACATAAAAAAATTGTCCTAGAATGCCTATCGATTTCGTTCGTTAGTGAATGCAAGATATCTGTGATGCTTTAAGGTTATTTTAAGATACCATCGAAATTTAGATGATATTCTATGACTATACGGTTATGTGAGTCTTTTCACTAGTGGCTATCCTGTACACAATCGGATCTTCAAATCCTACGATGACGATTTAACTAACTAATCGTCTCCTTTCCCGATTTGAATTGATTGACAATATGATACAACGATTATTTGATGTGATTAGTGGAGACTGTTAGTGTCTAACAAACTAGTTAACTAGTTTATAATGGTTAAGGGTAACGAAATCCAATTGAAGTAAAAAAAAAAGCAACCGATGACGGAAACAATATCTTTTGGTTACAATTATCTGTGTGTGCTCAAACGTGTTGAAAGACGAACCCCTTACCACCTACTGATATAACGTGTTTGACACAGTTCGGATTACCGTTAATACTTCTACTACATCTACCACAATTGCAACTCTTCGCTAATGTGGTTTTGGCAACTTGAACTGATGTGCGTACGTACGAAGCTCTGTGTTGTTTGCTGACTGACCGACTCTGATTCATTCTCGTCAGTCAATAGTGTGCGTCGGCTAACAAAAAAGTCATTTAGGCTAGGTGTAAAAAAATATTTGAGTACTATTAACAATAATTTATGTATTCTCAAATAGTAGCTTGTTACAAGAGGCATGCCAGTTTATAGGCCATAACAAATTGTTATAAATGCTACCGCATTTACTGTAATAGGTAGCGCAGTTAGATTAAAAATCAGAGTCTGTTTCTGATAGCACATCTGCACCATTTCCTCGACAGGAACAGTTTGATACAGTTCTAAGCTCTCCTTTGCGCCTGCAGCAAACGCTCTTTCCCAGTATATGGTTTACCTGAGGTACATTGTTTAAGAGAGTATTGTGAATGATGCCTCTTATCGTTTGCCAGTGATCACCTACAGTTAGCCTACACCATTCGTTAAGCGTGTAGAAGATGCCTTCTCATGCGTGTGTAATGTGCACTGGTTTAGAAAAGGTAGGGTTCGTTTTCCGTCTGCCTGAGTTTTTCGTTTATGACCTTTTTAAACATGACTGCATCATGGTCACTAATTACTATTAATGTGTGGACCTGAACATCCTAGACCAGGAGCTGATCATTTGTTAACTAGAAAAAGTTTGAGGATTATCCATCCAGTAGCGCTGCATACATGCCCAGTCAATCCGGAACTTCCAAGGGCTTTTCCAAGTCGCCTTTGGAACCAACCTGTGGCAGTTGTACCTTGTTCACTGAGATTTAGAGATGTAGTGTTGTAATATCCAGCCAAGGGTATTTGATCAAACTAAGGGAGTACAATTGCAGTAATGCCTCAGTCAGTTTATCTTTCTGGATCTTAGAACTTGAGGGAGCCCGGTAGATCCTTCCAATCAAGTGTTTTGTATCGTTTATGTCGGAGCAACACCAGCATGATTGTATCACATCGCTTAGTTGGTTGTCATTTACTCTGTCGGATCAGAAATGGCTGTTATTATACATATAGCCACTGTGCCTACTGTCTGGTGTACTCTATCACATTGGAAGTGTGTCATGACTCTCAAGCTTATTTCGTCGTCTGCAATGTCGGAGATAGACATGCTTTAGTTAGAATTATGATCTTCACATCCATGTGAGAGCACATATTCCTGGTCTCTGCAGGTTTTTTTGGCTTGTGTTGTATATTCAATAGGTGAGACCATAAACTTTGTGCCGTGGGTTGTTGATCAAGGTTAACTGTCATTTGTATGCTCTTATTTCGGCCTCCCTGTTGTTGTTAAGAGATCTAGATTGGCTCTCGCAACACCTCATGTGACTAGAGAGATCGTTTTACATGCTGTATCAAGCATGAAGCACCTCAGTTAGGTCTTCCTGATTTCCGAAGTCCACAACTATAAGATGTAGAGACTCAACAGTCGTAGAGATTGTTGAACGAGGCAGCCAGGAAATGCTTATTGCCTTAGTGGTGTGAAGACCTATGCTACATGATAGCTATCACCATTGTTGCACGTCATGTGCGTGAGCTTCATTAACTACTATACTGGTCTGCTTTTGGGTGCATTTTGACGTCGTGGCAGCTGCTTGTACGGAGGACAGTTTAACCATGGGTCTCTGAGATGTTTGAAAGATTTCTTTATCATCCTGTGCCGAGTCCAAGTTCATACTCAGAGGAGGGGTACTCCCTTCAGTGACATCCTTGCCCTTGAACAAGCAGCGTAGTTTGACCGGGGTACATCTCATTCCAAGAATTGCACAGTTTTCATTCCACTGTTCTGTATCGAAAGCAGCTCTGCTTTTTAGTAAGCTATCTTCCGACACTGGGACATTAAATAAAATTAGTGAGTTTTATCTAACATATTCGTCCCTCATTTTTGGCATTTGTCTAGCTTTGGTGTTGCTGTTTTACCCTCCCTACGCTCACTCACCTCTCCGTAGTATTAACAGATACTGAATAGTTTTCAACAACCAACATTTTCGTCGGTGTATTGGTTTGGGTTGCGGCTGCCTTTGTCGCTATTTGGTCAATTTTCAGGTACTACACTGTCTCAGCAGCGATTTACTGCAGAAGCTTCAATCAAATAGAGAGTCGCTGGTTTTTAACTCAGTAGTGAGCAAGCAAAATAGTTATCTATATGTGCCTTCTGAACTGTAGGCTGTGTCTTTTGAGTCTAAGGATGCTTTTCTCTCCAATTCTTATTTTACCAGCTGATCTCACTAGGAGTAGGAATTTGAAAAGGAGAGACCGAGTGGAGTTGTTTAAGTCAAGTAGTCCGAGTTACGCACAGTACCGCGAAGTACACTTTGGAGTGACATTTTGAACTTTTTCACAATTCTGTCACTTGAGACTGTGTGGATTCAGTAACTTTTCCAAAAGTGCTATATTTGCGAGTGAATGAATCTGTATATGCTGCCAAAGCAACTAGGAAGAGAGCAGTTGATCCATACATCTAGATCTACCGTACAGTGGTTCTCCAATGGAATTATTTCGTTTGTCTTAATTGTTTCTCAAACTGTCCACCAATGAATGCAGACAAACTTTATACCTTCGAGAATGTTTAAATGTCCACCAAATATGATGTCGACGACTGGATTGTTTCGTGTAAATGGTGGGAGGTCAACGGGAACAACGTACTGGGAGTTTTCAGTACTTCTGATATAAATTGGAAAAAGTTGTCTATCGTTGAATCTGATATTACATTCTTCATTAGTCTGCTTTTAAGTGTAATGGAGTATGTTTTAGCAGTGATGGTTTCAGTCCTTGTCACAAAGTTATCTAGACTGACACAACTTGAAAAACTAGTAAACCATTAACCACATGATACAGTTGTTGATTAACTGATATGCTTGAAACTATTACCAGTTCACCCTACTCGGTAAACAAGAGCGAAGACAAATGATCCAATGATACGATTGGCTATTCTGATTCGATTGTCCCCGTCCCTGCTGACGATATCAAAAGTCTTGATATAGCGCAGCTAGTGTATTCTATAAGCATCCAGAAAATATGAGGTATTCAAGTATACAAATCGAGCTTGTTTATATAAGATAGAAACGTCATTGGGAAAGCCACAAAAATAGTGTACTAAAATAATAATACATCAACCAATGACAGTGAAGGATTTTCCGAGTGGGAAGTATAATAATCTCAAGGTCAACTGATCAACCCATGCGCGAAAGCATAAAATCCAAAATTAGGACCCTAATCAAGTGAGTTCTAGGGATCTAAAGTCCCCAACATTGACAGATGTCTACACTGAATGCTTTGGATCTGTTGGCAAGATACCATCAGCAAAAACTCACTATGCAAGAGAAAAAAAGAAATCAAGAACAAGCGCTGGAGATCGGTAGGAACCCTAACTTAGAATCCACATGGTGAAAAGAAAGCGAGGTAGACTAAAGAACACAAGGCGCCGACAATTGGAGACAGATACGAAAAGAATCAATAGCAATTGGCTAGCATTGAAAAGGAAAGCTCACAACAGAATTGTTTGTAGAATGCTAGACAGCGGCCTATGCTCTATTAGAGGTAACAGATGTAATTATTCAATAAGTAAGTTAACCGACATTACTTATTCCTTAATGAAGTTGTATACACATAAAATTCCAATTAATTCGTTAATTAAGTTTATGTGAATTTATATAAGATTTAAGTAATAATTTGTTTCAAACAAAAATTCACAAAGTTCAATGAACAATATTGTTTTTTTGTCTATTTCAAACAAACAACAGACATTTGTGTGCGTGTGTGTGAAGATTCAACTGTCGAATTATTGATAAGATGATGTTGAAACAAAAGAATATTTGAGTTAAAATATCATTAAAGTTTGCACGTTAATGAATGAATGCAAAAAGTACATCAGTTCAGGTTGCCATGCCCCATCAGCACAGAGACGCAACTGTCAGTTCAAATCCAACAGTGATAGCAATAATAGAAGTATTATCAGTAATGGAGAAGATTAGGAAGCGAAGATTTGATTCAAGAAGTATATATAATTCAGTAAGATAAATTTAGAAGGTGAAAGATAGAGATGATGAGGAATGCAGAAGGTTAGAATTTCATAGAACAAAAAGAGTGGATGCACTCGTCGTTTGGTGAGCGAACGGATATCACGCGTACGCCATAAATGACGCAGGTTGGCAAAAGCCAATCGATCCTTCTGTATCCGTGCCGAGATTCCGTCAGTCACCAGGCCATCGGCACTGATGAGACTCCCAAGATAAGTGAAGTGATCAACACGCTCGACTACTTCACTCCCTATCACTAGTTCAGGTGCCAATGCAATCCAATCTTGAAGCAACATTTTGCATTTCGAGGGGGAAAACCACATCCCGAACATGCATGCATTGTTGCTTAGGGTGGTCAGAAGACTCTGCATTTTGTCAGCGTCTTCACCGAATAGAACTATGTCATCGGCATATTCTAGATCAGTAAGCGATTTTCTCTGTAGAAGATCAACCCCTGAAAAATCTGACAAGCTTAATGTTAACTCTAAGAGGATGTCTACTACAAAGTTAAACAAGAACGGAGAGAGTGGACATCCCGGACGGACACCACTTGATGTAGAGAATTCAGATGACAGTTCGTCATATGCTCTCACTCGATCAGTGGTGTTCGAGTAGAGAGCTTGTATAAGGTTAATGTACTACTTCTTTGGTACACCTTTCAATGACAGACACTGCCACAGAACCTCACGATCCACTGAGTCGAATGCCGTTTTTAGGTCCAGGAAGACAACTATTGTCGGACGTCGAAATGTGTGTCTATGTTCCAGGACCTGTCTGAGTGTGAAAATGTGGTCTATACAGCCACGTCCAGATCGAAAAAATTTGTATACACATAAAATTTCAATTAATTAAGTTTATGTGAATTTATATAAGATTTAAGTAACCATTTGTTTCAAACAAAAATTCACAAAGTTCAATGAACAATAATGTTTTTTTGTCTATTTCAAACAAATAATAGACATCTTTTATGTTTTTTTTGTGTGTGTGTGAAGATTCAGCTCAACTGTCGAATTATTGTTAAGATATTGAAGAAACAAAAGAATATTTGAGTTAAAATATCATTAAAGTATGCCAGTTCGTTAATGAATGAATGAATGCAAAAAGTATGTTATCATTGTTAATAAAATTGATCAAAGTTGGCAACAACGGTTTACAGTATTGAAAAACCGAAATACTTTAATATTATTATTATCATTAATATTGTTATTTGAAAATTAGTTAAAAGTGATTTAATACCGACGAAGAAAAAGTTATCGAATTGTATGGAAAAACGTGAATACTTGGAAAGATTTAATTTTGACAATGACGACAATTGTAATAGTTAGTAATAACGTTGTGACTAGAATATGAATGGTGTGCAGAGGAGACCAATTCATGTGAATTGGTAAAGACGTAAACATGAAGAAGGAAATAATAATAGTGGAGATTAAAGGTTTGATTATATATCCAATTTAAGTTTCTGTTATGATTAAGTCATGAATGAAGGTTGAATACAGAGGTTGGTTTTTTATTGAAGTTTATCCAGATAGTTTCAGCTCTGCCAAGGAGTTATTATATCTTAGTTCCTTTACACAGACTGTTTAGTACTTGATGTAAAACAGTGAAATCCTCATAGGATGTTCACTATTTATCAGAACGGTCTATGAAATTGGCTCCACAAGAGCTCTTCAATCAGCAGTATACACACAGTGAAGCTCATTATCGGTAACCTATCGTTCAATGGGAAAGATTACATGTAATGTAACTTGGCAGTGTGAAATGTCTTCTTAACATATCATTTAAGTCGACATGTTAACATGTCACTTGCTATATCCCTTTTTAATAACTATTTGATAAGTTAGGTAGGTACGCTTAAAGCTATTACGAGTTCACCTTAGTCAATAAACGCGAACGAGATAATTACCAGCGTCCAGATAGGCTACCTTGAATCCCAAGCTGAAGATAGAAGACTTTGTAAGCGTAGAAAGCGTATATTCTACAAACACCCAGCAAACACAATACACAATCAAGCACACAACTCTCGTTTATTTATACATCATAGAAACGTCCTTGGGACAGTTACGAAAATAGCACACTAAAATACACAGCAACCAATCACAGCCATGGATTTTCCTGGTGCGAAAAAATGAAATCTCAAGGTCAACTGACCAGCCCATGCTCGCAAACGTAAAATCCAAGATAAGGCATGTATCAAGCGAGTTTTGGGTTAATGTAACATCCCCAACGCTATTGAACCAAATGACAAAATTATTGAGAACAATTATTCGTTAAAATAGTTTCTTTTTCTATTTGTTTTATACAATCAATAATTATAATTATTTATTTTAACAATAAGCAAATCTTGTTTTCCATGGGATAGATTTCAATTTATTTGACATTAATACAGCACATATCATTGATGCTACTTCCATTGGTACAAAAGCTGTCAATAAGCAAACCATAGAAATTAAAAAACGTTGAACAATGGAATTTAGTTTTTCTGCACAACCCTATGAGAAAATGGAAAAAAAAATATCATGATGATGATGACGATGATGATGAGGATTTTTAAAAGAATGAATCGATCAGTGTTAGACCACCGTTAGAAGAAACCTGAATGTACTGGGAGGCCGTCTCGACCTAGTATGGGACTCATCAGCAATGAGCATCCACAACTCTCGCTACTCCTGAGCAAGACCGAAGGTCTTGAGTTCAAATCCAGCTAGTAGCAGGGGTTGTGGATACGCACTACTGATGAGTCCCATACTAAGTCGAAGCGATCGCCCAGTACTTTCAGGTTTCTTCTAATGGTGGTCTAATACTGATCGATTCATAATTTCAAAAGGTAACGCAACAATCTCCATAATTATAACAAGTTCACACAGTTCAATAGTAGTATTTAGTTTGAAAAAATCAGTATTGGTCAAGTGTAATATACATGGCAATAATTTAAAATATAATTTTGGTGCGATGATGGAGAAAATTTGTAGCTCAGGTGGATGGATGATTGTGATAGAGTTTCGTTCTCTGAGTTGGATACTTTGGTTTTGGATTGGTGAGTTTAGAATCCGTTTTTCATCACCTTCTGATTGTGTAATATTAATTCAGTGTATGAATTTTAATAACCAATATAAAAATTGCAAACAAAGTTCCAAATCATTACTTTGTGTTTGTACGGGAGGATGTCTTTCAACTTGAGATAAACAAATAAATCATTTGATAAGAATGTTGATTTTCTTTTCCCTGTGTCAACGTTATTTCAGTTTTCAATCCTAATTATGCGAGACTGCGTTTTTATTTATTTTCACGTCACTCGTTCACATTACAACACTTTGTCGAATTGAAACGAAATCTATTCTAATCTCAGTCTATAACAGTTCAGTTCTTAGTTACTTTCATTTTCAGTTATCTTACAAGTCCATCGTCCAAAGTTATAAACTCATCAAAAGTAAAGAAGATGACAATAGATCTATTTGGAGTTTAGCAGAATGGAATTATAAACGAGGAAATGTTATTTCAAGAATACCATAGTCAGTCAGTTGGTCACTTACAACGTCGAACTTCGTATGTACGTACATTAGTTCAGGTCGCCAAACCGCATTGGCACAGAGACGCTGTTTTCAATTCAAATTCCGTAGTGGTAGAGATAATAGAAGTATTAACGGTAACGGAGAACATTAGGGTTCGAAGATATTATTCAAGAAGTATAGTTCAGTGAGATAAGTTTAGCAAGATAAAGGTAGGGGTGTTGACGAATTCAGCAGATTAGGATTTGAGAGAACACAAAGAGTGGATGCACCTACACCATTGCAAACGATTTTTAGCCAATTCATTCAAGGTCTCTAACCATTGGTGACTATCGTCTCGCGGACCCCAACCAGGTAGTAGACACCTACTAACATGACTCAGTTCACTTGTTAGTGACTTCATGGATTTGTGCCATGTTACTGTTTGACTGCTTCTAGCTTTCTTCCAACCTACTCCTACGCCAAAAAACATTACTCGTCTAGGCAGTCGGTGGTTGGACATTTGTAACACATGTCTCAACCACCTCAACTGATGACATCATGATAAAAATAAAACAGTGAACTGCTTCTACTACTGATACTATACCATAATAACACTTGATTCAATATCCTACAGAATGTAAGATCAGCTGTATTGCAAGAATGACATTATTCACAATTCATCAGTATTTAGATACTGATAGCTAGACTGCCAAGATAAGTGAAGCTGTCGACACGCTCAACTACTTCACTCCCTATAACTAGTTCAGGTGACGTCGCAATCCAATCCTGAAGCAATATTATGCATTTCGACATGGAGAATCGTCTCCCGATCATGCATGCATTGTTGATTAAAGGCTGTCAACAATCCCAATAATGATAAACAATAACTCTCGCTGGAATATCATTTTTTTCACTGTTTACCATTCCTTTTTGTTTTAATTATTATCTAATGAAGTATATAGACTACCAACCATTCTACAACCACCTCCAACCTTTCCAGTTTTATCCAATTGCTGTTCACTTTTTTTCACGCCTGATTCCAATCGTCAAGGTATTGTGTGTTTTGGTCTTTATCTTCTCGCTTGACCTTGAGAATTCAAAGTGAGGACTTGTCATGTGACGTAGTTGTGTGCTTTCCTCCTCCTCCTCCAGCGACTCTTCATAATTCTTTCTTCTGCTTGAATCTGACCTGTTCTCTCCCGTAGCAGGTTGTTTTCGATAGTTTCTGGTCAACGGATCAGCAGTATCTTAGGCAGATATATCTTAATCAACAACTGTATCCTGTGGATGATAGTTTTATAGCTCTTCAAGTTTCTGCCAGCAAACAACAGGACTGTGCTGAAGTTTGTAATGATATATTGTAGCTTTGATTTTGGTTTACGGTTATTTTGAATTGCAGATGTTCTTCAGTTGTAGAAATATTGCTCTTGTTTTGCTGATACACACCTTCACATCTGTGTTCAATCCACTGTGCTCATCAATATCCATGCCTAGATATGTAAAGGTTTCCACATATTGCAAAGCTTCTTCGTCACTTGTGATTTGGTTGTTGCATATCGTGTTGCATTGAAGGAACATGCTGTTTTCCTTGTGTATATTGAGACCTGTTGCTGCTGAGGCTGCTGCTACACTAGTTATCGCCTATCAATAAGAATTGACCGATAGAGTTAGACTTACTAAAATAATTCTCTTATGATATTGGATGAATATCTTAACAGCATTATACTAAGTTCCTCATTAGTGTATTAAGGAAAACTGTAACGTATGATCTACAACCTCATAATAAATCAAACATTGAACATTTCAAAATTCATGTGATCAATTGGAGCTTAATTTGAACTTTACACTTCCTCATTCTCATTTACAATTTGTCACATAAACTTTTTTTCAAAAAAACAAAACCAATTCAATGAAAACTTACTTTTTCAAATGGTATTTTCGCATCGTCAGCATAACATGAAATTGGTATGGATAAATTACTCACAGTATAATCAGTAATTCCATCCGCGCCACAACATTCATGCTAAAAAAAACAGATTAATCGATGATCCACAAAAAAACAAAAATGCATCACTTACTTGCAATTGTATTGTGTTGACAAAGGCTGCATAACTATTTTTTCGTTCATACTGATCGATAGCATCTTTGATGATATTGCGAAACATCATACCCATCTAAATGATTGGACATTGAACAAAGTATTGATTTAAACAAAATGATTTATATATATACCTACCTTTTCACGTAGAATATATGTTGTCACAATGATAGTGATACCGATTAATGAAGCTACGATTAAGAGTACTATATACTGTTTTTTTTTATGAAAAGAAAACTATTATTATATAAATTTTCTTTACAATAGCATTAACTGTTCGACGTCCAGTTAAAACGTAGAGTATACCAATACTGCCAAGTGAAAATAATAAACAACCAAGTGCCATCATAACAAATGTTAATGATAACATATGTACAGGCATATTACGTAGAAACGTATTCAGAAATAAATGTATATAACTGCCCATAACAATGACACATGTACCGAATATCTAGAAAAAGAAAGAAATTTTAAAAAAACATTTTATAGAAATATTTTAATGATAATAATATTTATTAGGAATTCATTTTTATGAGTTGTTTGAGTCTTTGGCATTGTGATGTTTAGACGTGTAAGACTGCACAGAAAATGAGTGGTGAAAGGTCAAAAACAATCGATCAAAGTCACCAGGTGAAGCTACAAGTCATACGCGGAGAAATTCAACATGTTTTACTTTTATTTGAAATCTGTGTTGATAATGTTATTGTTCAGAAGTAATCATTGAAAGCTCCATAATCGAAACACTCAGCTCAGAGAATGAAACCTTACCATAAAGTCTTTAGGATTGAAATTGATGCGTTTCTATTTAGCATATATACGAAGATTGCCTGGATATTGTTATTAGGTTACGAGCATTATTAACCAAGGTGAACTATCGGTGTCAAGTGCAAATGATGAAGTTTCATTACTTCATGAGTTGAGGTAGTTGGGATATGTGTTACGAATATCCAACCACCGACTGCCTCGACGAGCTATGATTTATGGTGTAAGGGTAGGTTGGAAGAAAGCTAGGGGCGGCCAGACAAAAACATGGCACAAATCCATGAAGTCATTGACAAGTGGACTTGGCCATGTCGGTAGTTGTCGACTACCTGTTTGGGGTCCGCGAGATGATAACAATCAATGGTTAGAGACCTTGAATGACATGGCTCAAAATCGTTTGCAATGGCGCAAGTGCATCCATACTTTGAGCTTTCTCAAATCCTAATCTTCTGGATTATTCAACCCCTCTAGTTTTGTCTTTCTAACCTTATCTCACTGAATTATACTTCTTGAATAATATCTTCAAACCCTAGTCTTTTTCAATAGCATTAATATCTCTACTATCATTATTGCTATGCGATTTGATTTGACATTTGCGTCTCTGTGCTAATGTGGTATGGCAACCTGAACTTACGTACATACGTACGAAGTTCTACGTCGCAACTGACTGGCCGGTGTCAAGTTCCAGAGTGAACATCAACTCTAAGATAAAAGCACATCTAAGTGACGAGATCCAAACAGGAAGAAACAAGAATTCTATTTTCTCACTACCAACCACTATCCATCCATCTCAAACTAACAATAAATCGTTAATAAAAATAAAAGGATAAAAGTCTATCAAAATTATACCCATTTATCATCATTGACTTACTAAATTCAATGAATTAGACACAATTAAAAATCGTTTCAAACATCTGTATTGACATTCATCGGATAATTTTCGACACATGATAATAATTATTTTTATTATTTTTCTGCAGACATGAACTAGAAGATTTCAAACAAAAATCCACCTGAAGATGATGTATTACAACTTATTGTACAAATAAAATTACACGTTATTACATCTCTCTCTTGTAACATATTTATATATAGATAGATTAATAATGTTTAAAATTGATTTGTTGTAACCTTAATACATCTTATTATGCATAGATTGGATAGAATAACAAACGATACAACTATATTGAACCATTCACTAGTGAAATCAATGTTTCATTTTAACAACTACACTGACCATAATAATAATAATCAGTGATAGATAGATAGATTGTTTCTTATTTCACAAATAGACTACAAATAGAGTAATTCTAGAAAATTTTTTAAATTATGCGAAAGAATTTGTCCATATCACATTAAATCATTACAACAGATTAAATATTTCATTTATTTCATTAATTAAACCAGACCTCTCTTTCTCTCTCTCTCTCTCTCTCTCTGTGTATGGACATTAATAATTATATCATTCAATCTTTGTACACACAAAATAGAATAATCACAATAGAAAAATAAAAATCAATAATTGTCTCATTCCTTGATGTATGTGAATGCATTGCATTGAATGTGTACGTTGAAATCAAGAAATGTCGTGATAGACGAAAAAGAATGGTCGAGTTTAGTGTGAATAGATCTGTTTTTGTTATGCTTGGTGTTGTTAATTAAAGATATTAGTGAATAGTCAAGGAAAACAATGCTGACAACTATAAGATAAACGTTTTCGATTCTTTGCGGTTCAGCGCAACTGACTAGAGGAAAAAGAAAAGTTTTTGGAAGAGCGAGCAGAATTTTAATTAGAGGTGATTTTTAGGGATCCAGCATACGTAGCCATTGAAAAAGAAACCATAAGGTGCAACTCTAAATGAATTACACAGAGACGGAGATGGAAATGAGAAGAACGAACAACAATTGGACAGGACTGGAAAGGAAGGTGAAGAACTGAGCTGGTGGCTTACGGTCCATTGGGATAACAGGCGGAAGTAAGTAAATAATTATAATTATCATCATAGTTAAAGTATTCAATGTTAACTTGAATAATATATGCGTTCGATGAAGGTGTGAGGTTAATGATTTTCGATCAATATTAATCACACAAACTCTGCCTGGAACCCCTCTGGGGCTATTTTCAGTCACAAACCTGGATAACGAAAGAATGTTGGGCATGGGGTTAGCGACGTCATTTCGTAGAAAACTAACTCACTCTAAGACAAAACGCTAACCAGAAAAAATAATTCAAAAGATTTAAAATCTGCCCTGTCAGTTAGGTCGTCATTTAGAAGAGTCTTGACATATCTTGGTGAAAGTCGAATTTCTTCAGAAATAACAAGGTTGATTCTCCTTCTGATTACCAGAAGGACAAGTAAGAAATTGCACACAGCGCGATATATAATAACTCCGCCAGTAGAACCTTAGGGGCTACTGCCGGTCCCAAGCCCGGATAAAGGAAGAGGGTTGGACATGGGGTTGGCGACCCCATTCCGTTAAAATCTCACTTGCCAAAAAAACGCTAACCAGAAAAAATAAATCAAACCATTTTAACTCTGCCCTGTAGGTTGGAAGAAGAATTATGACGTCGCGTGATGAAAGCCGAGTTCCCTCGGAAGTCACGGGGCCGATGCCTCTTCTCACAACCAGAGCAACCATTCTGATAGGTACATGGAACGTTCGTACATTGTGGGAGACTGGAAGACTATTTCAAGTTGCGGCAGAAGTGAAAGGATACAACCTCGAGGTCCTCGGAATCAGTGAAACACATTGGACACAAGTAGGACAACTGAGACTAGCTTCAGGGGAACTGCTGTTATACTCTGGTCATGAAGAGGAAAATGCTTCACATACACAAGGAGTTGCACCGATGCTGTCCAAACATGAACAAAAGGCACTGATAGGACGGAAATCTCATGGACCAAGGGTCATTGAAGCATCCTTCAAAACAAAGAAAGAGGACATTACAATGAACGTCATCCAATGTTATGCACCTACCAATGACTACAATGACGACGTTAAAGATCAATTCTACGAAAGGCTGCAGTCAATCGTCGATAAATGTTCACCAAAGGATTTGACGATTCTTACGGGAGACCTGAATGCCAAGGTTGGAATGGACAACACTGGATATGAAGACATCATGGGACGACATGGATTGGGAGAAAGGAACGAAAACGGTGAGAGATTTGCAAACCTATGTGCCTTCAACAAACTGGTCATCGGTGGCACAATATTCCCTCACAAACGCATTCACAAAGCCACATGGATTTCACTGGACCACACTACTCAGAACCAAATTGACCATATCTGTATCAAAAAAAGTTCAGAAAGACTATGGAGGATGTGAGAAGCAAGAGAGGAGCTGATATAACATCAGATCACCACTTGCTGATCGCCAAAATGAAACTGAAACTCAAGAAACACTGGACAATGGGGAAGACTACATCACAGAAGTTTAATCCAGCCTTTCTTCAGGATACCGTAAAACTCAAGGAATTCAAGATAGCCCTCACCAATAGGTTGCAGGCCTTTCAGGATCTACTCAATGGAGAGGACGCGACATTGGAGAACAATTGGAAAGGGATTAAGGAGGCAATCACTTCAACATGTCACGAAGTTCTGGGTCACAAGAAGTACCATCACAAGGAATGGATCTCTGTTATTATACTTGAAAAAACTGAAGAAAGAAGGAAAGAAAAGGCAGCGATCAGCCGACCAAGAGCAGAGAAAGTTAAAGCACAAGCTGCATACACATATGCAAACAGGAAAGTGAAGAAGAGCATCAGAGCTGACAAACGAAAATATGTGGAAGATCTAGCAATGACGGCGGAAAAGGGTGCAAGAGAAGGAAACATGAGACAATTGTACGATACAACAAAGAAGCTGACCGGAAACTATCGTAAACCAGAACGACCAGTCAAAAGCAAGGATGGGAAAATAATCAGTAACACTGAAGAACAGAGAAATAGATGGGCAGAGCACTTTCAGGAACTCTTGAATCGACCAGCTCCACTGAACACACCCAACATCGAAGCAGCATCCACGGATCTCCCAATTAATGTTGGCGCACCTACGATTGAGGAGATCAGTATGGCAATCAGACAAATCAAGAGCGACAAATCAGCAGGACCAGACAACATTCCAGCAGAGGCAATTAAAACAGATGTAGAAGCAACTGCGAAAATATTTCACATTCTCTTCAAGAAGATTTGGGATGAGGAACAAGTACCATCAGATTGGAAAGAAGGATACCTCATCAAAATACCAAAGAAAGGCGATCTCAGCAAGTGTGAAAACTACAGAGGCATCACTCTTCTTTCAATACCAGGCAAAGTCTTCAAGATAGTATTGTTAAACAGAATGAAGGACTTCGTAGACGCCCAACTTCGAGATCAACAGGCCGGATTTCGTAAGGATCGATCGTGTACTGACCAAATTGCTACATTACGGATCATTGTGGAACAATCAATTGAATGGAACTCACCACTCTACATCAACTTCATCGACTACGAGAAAGCATTTAATAGACTGGATAGGAAAACACTGTGGAGTCTTTTTCGACACTACGGTGTGCGTGAGAAAATAGTTAACATCATACGGAATTCTTATGTTGTATTCAACTGCAAAATCATACACGGAGGTTAGCTGGCAAGCTCAATTGAGTTGAAGACCGGTGTCAGGCAAGGTTGCTTACTCTCACCCTTTGTCTTTCTCCTGGTCATCGACTGGATTATGAAGAAGTCAGCATCTGGAGGGAAGCACGGTGAGGTGTGCCGGCTTAATGCGTGTTCTTACGTTTCGTAATAAGCTCGTTCAGACTACCTTATCCAAATGACGTCTGACGGTTAATAAATCAGAAGATGAATTCCAAGTAGCGTATACGTTTATTGAAGCACACCACAATTAATAACAGCGGACCACAGACAGACTAGTGAGCGAATATGCGAATGTGCGAATTTATTTTTAAGATAAAAATGTTCGTATATATACAAAGGAAAATGTCTGAGTCATCGTGGTATTGAAGAGATTAATACTAAAGCGAATAGGATGCATATATGCGTAGGCGTTAAGCAATGCTCAGTCATACTAGCTCATACAAACCAGATAATAAAAAAATACCAATGGTACATATAAGTTGTTGCTAAGCGAATGGCTTGGTTAAATAAATTAATCGAAAGGCTTAACCAAGTTAGATGTGAGAGAAGTGAAATATATGTGGAGGCACTACAATAGCCCCCTTCCAGCAAACAAGGTTACGAAAATGTCTTTGTTTGCGAGAAAAAAAATCAAAATTGTCGGAAAACATCAAAAGTTTCGGAAGTTAAAGTTATTCTATTCGCATACGTTCGTGAGGTCGCAAAGGAATAGAAGATCAAACAAAAGTATAGCAATGTTTTTAGGTTACATCTCAATTTCGAAATACACTAAATGTATCGAAGGCAATAACAGATAAATTAGAATTTTCGACGTATAGATGCGAAGCAAAAAAAATTGTGTTCGAAACGGTGAGAAGAATTATCAGTTCAAAATTGTAGCTATATATCTTTGCGGCCACCTGACTCTTCGTCCATATCTGGTCGTTGGTGGGCTTCCTTCGCTTTTCAGTGTTGCTGCTTCAGAGGGTTTAAGCTCGCATTTCGGTGATTCAATGGCTTTCGATGGGTTTGCGTTTATTGGCTGTTCTTCGCCTTCAATGAAAGCTGGTTTGACTCTGTCGATGCTAACTACATCCGTTTTTCCAGCTTTATCTACGGTGATAGTTTTATCGTTTCTGTCGATAACTTTAAAAGGACCATCGTAGGTTGGTTGTAAGGGACGTCGCACAAAATCTCTCCTGATGAATACATAGGAGGTATCGCTTAGTTGCTTCGGAATATATACTCGATGTTGATTCTCCTGCGGAAGCGTTATTCTTAGATCGCTCATGTGTTCTTTTAGACGACGTACGTAGTTAGTTATATCAGTTGGAACAATCTTACCTGAGATGAACAACTCTCCTGGTAGACGTAAGGTAGTTCCGTAAACTAACTCTGCAGGGCAACATCCTATGTCTCTTTTAACCGTCGATCTTAAACTCAACA